TCTTTGGGGTTCCCTGAACCCTGAACCCTAAACCCTAAACCCTCAAGGGGGAGTAGTAGCCCTAAACCCTAAACCCTGATCCCTAAACCCTAAACCCTCAAGGGGGGGTAGTAGCCCTAAACCCTCAACCCTCAACCCTAAACCCTCAAGAGGGGGGTAGTAGCCCTAAACCCTAAACCCTAAACCCTAAACCCTCAACCCTAAACCCTAAACCCTCAACCCTCAACCCTGAACCCTAAACCCCACACCCTGTGCTGAATGGAGTTAAGAGAAACGACGCAGGCGATGGTACGGAGCCAACCTGGGGGCCTGTACAAGCTTGCGGCAAAAATGAGCCATCAAAGAACGAGTTGTATAGAACCTGATATAGTACCCTAAACCTTGTGGTAGGCTAACTGTTGCTTTTTTAACAAGAGACCAAGCTTCACCGCCTATGGCCGTTTATGACAGAAGTAGCCTACACCAACTCTTGTGAAGAATGCTCAAAACTTGTGGATACCAGAATAAAACATAAACCCAGACTAGGCAACCAGAGCTGACAAATTCAGAGCTCCGCGGATTAGAAGTTTAATTGAGGAGCCTAAACTGCGACAATCCCTCTGAAACAAGAAATACACCCTGTAAACACGAATCAATCCCAGCGTACGCCTGGTCGTGTCGTGTCTTGATCGCATGGGCCTCTTAGTAAGGAACTGCACGCCGCCGCGCCCCTCCCCCCATCAACAATGGTACCGAGGGCTGGGCCATACTGCTTTGGGCGCCTACTTCAGCAACCCACTTGAGACCAAAAGCCAGGCGATGGGCAAAGTGCGCAGAGCGATTCCGCACGCGGTTGGAGGCTTGGGGCATTATCATTGCAGGGCCGACTGCGTTGAGGGAAGCTTCCGCAGGCATAAGCATCCGCTGTAAAATCCAGGGATTGCGCTGAAAGGTTCTGGGTTTCCGGGTTGCGGCTCCCATGCGTAGTCTACACCGCCACATGCTGGCCGACTTGCCTGTCGCGATTGGCTCTGAAGCCCGTTATCCTTTTTGCGCTGCGCCGCCTTTACAGTTCGACTGTCTCAGTGTGAAACATGGGCACCGCGCCGTGGAAACTGGAAAAGCCAAGACTTTGGCCACCGCCTATGCACGGGGCACCTGTTCGGCTTCTCGAGGGGCTGCTCAGAAGTGCCAACCCCATTCCGAAGCACTAGATTAACTCGTAGACCCCAATCAAAACCTGTCCTCCACAGGCCCCTTTCTGTGACTCTGCTGTGTGCCAGCAGCTGTGCAACAGGTTGCTCAACTTTCAACCTGGGCGTTGAATCTGCGTGACCCCACTCCAGGGCTCCAATAGCCCCATCCCTTCCACAACCCTATAATCCTGAAGCGAACCAAGTCTCTTGTAACCAAAATGTCTACGCACTGGAGGGGGCCAAACCCTGAACTGTAGATGCGCCAAAATCTCGCTGAAGCCTAAGCCCTAAATCTCCCTGAAGCCTAAGCCCTGAACCCTAAGCCCGAAGCCCTGCTGCAAAACACCTTCTGCAGGCCCTTATCTATCAGCTCGAATCACCAGAACATCCGGCAGTAGCCCATAAATACCCATGCTCTCCAGGATCAGGTGACTTGCATAAGACAGGAGTCATGGTTTTGACAGGCACCTCGGGATCCTCCCAACCTTTATGCTAACAGTGCTTCATGAGATTTAAGTACCCTCTTATCATTTGTTGAAGGACAGTTCTGTAGCTGCTTGTGCTGAATCTCAGTACACGAGGCGAATCCAGACGAGACCGTGACGCCCATGAGCAAGCTGAAAGAGACGCTGCCAGAGCCCAACAAGTACGACGTCGGAAAAGGCGACACAGCATCCATTCAGGGGAAATCATTTGAAAAAGGAAGAGTGCTGCAGTCTGAACTTGCATCCATGACAACTTTCTGAATCAATCGGGTCTTCCATGCAAACTCACTCCTTCGGCCTGCAAGTACTATAATCCTCAGCATGACATGTTTCACATGCTTTGTTGGCTGTGGTATTGACACACACGCATGTACACACCGGTTCGATGATCTTGAGAGATGCTTGGCAAGGCACGAAAATGGCTCTCAGCGACGGCCTGGGCAAACACATCGGCCGAAGGCGTCACAATAGACGGAAGGGAAAACTGGAGTTGCCACTGCCTGAGTCATTAAATATTCTGCGGAGTCTTGAGCGAACTGGTCGCACAAATCACAACATGCTGCTGCAGCTCTAGGCCGGGTACTTCGGCAACACTGTTCGCAGCGGTGGGGAAAACTGGCAAGTTGTCCGAAGGCTTGCTCATGCACGACGCGTACTCAGTTTGCATGCTCGACGCATTGGCAATGTTGAAGTGCTAGGCAAATGATATGCCGCTGTGAACACTACAGTACTATCTACGAGGGTCCGGTGGCAGTCTCCCAACTGCAACAACTGACATGGTTTAGTGCTTCTGGCGCATGTGTTTCAGCGTTCTCGTCTCACGTGTTTGTTAGTTTCTGTCATATGTTGATCTACAAGATGTCCAGATGTTGATTCTTCTTCATCTGCTTGCCCAAACTACACTTACCAGTATGAAAAAACTGTGCGAGTTAGACCACAGTTTATCAACACAAGATTCGATTAACTTTGAAAGCTAACTGCTTTCTTCTCCAACGAAGAAAACATGTTTCGTCTGACAAACAGCACAAGCTGAATAAGCGTTCACATCTACATATCTGTGCATAGAAGTGTGTGAACCCAGATCTGGCGCTACCCATGCCAGAGCGCCCGTGACGTGCTCAATGCTGGGGGTGACGTTGAAGGCGACCTGGACATGGTGACCCACCTAAACCCTAAACCCTAAACCCTAAACCCTAAACCCTAAACCCTAAACCCTGCATAGTCTTGTGCAGTGTCGCAATATGCAGCCGGACTGATGCATCTTCACTTTACTAGTGGTAAGGATTCCTTCTGGTCGAAGCTCGACATCATTCGTGACACAGAGGAAGATGTCCCGGCACTTGCTGTTTCAAGCAGGTCTTCCATCCGACTAGTCTGCAACATATTTCTGTGGGACTGCTGCACAGGCGTACGATTTCAAAGCGCTGGAGACAGGGGTATATATTATCGTATTCCACATTCTAGAAGAAAATATTGGTTTGGTATGATATGTATTTCCATCAAATCATTGGATTCATTGTTTATTTGATTTGAATTCGTATGATGCTAGCTATATCCGTATCGACAACGAAATAAAGTCCATCGAACCCCAACGGCTCCGACTCGAGCGCAAATGCTCCGGCGGCGATGGGTGCTCTAAACACGTTTCTTCCTGCGCCGAGAATAACATGTATTCAGACCTCAGCCTGCGCTAAAGTGATTCATTATGCAAGCGACTCGCGGCACGTGAACTCGAAACACTCCAGAAAACACCCTCTGTTTGCACCAAGCACAGCAGCTCAACAAGGACCTCTGCTCTTCTGCACAAACAGCGGCCGAATCTTTCAGCAACTGAAGCCTGCACTTAGACTCTCATCGCCTGCACATTAAGAGCCAAGCTCACAATCGAAATCGAAAGCAGTTTCTAATTTTTGGTTCAAGATGGCTCATCCCAGGATGCCTCCGCTTGGTGAGCTCAGCAGAACATCTGTGGTTGCCCGTGAAACGACGTCCGACAGGCTCAGGAGACAATTCTCATGACGCGGGCGCTCGTAGGTATGCGGCTCTGGTCTCCGATGGCCAATTGGGCTTCACTGCAGCTGGCCTTCAGAAGGTTATCGAGACTGACAAGGCCTATGCCCGCACGCCGCTCGAGTTCTCTTACGCTTGGGGCAGAAGCCATGAAATCTTGAAAGATAGGCAAGTCGAAGTACCCAGAGCCACACGCCCGCAGCCAGTTCATAAGCTCCTCCTCCAGTCGCGAGATGAGATCAAAGGCTGTCCTCCGAGACCAGGCAGTAAGATTCGCAAACAGCACATGTTATTGCGCGCTGCTTACGACACAACCGATGCAGAAATAGAAATGGACGAAAAACTTGCTAGAGCCAAGAGAGGATCAGGTCTTCTTCGCTAGTGCAACCAATGCCGAAGTACTTGAATCTGGTGTGGATTGGAAACTCTGGATAGTTGTACGGCCGTGGTAGCTGCCGGATAGATCGAGGATAACGTCGCTCAAGAAATGTTGCACAGATACTAACAAGCTTCGTGTTGGGAGTGTAGAACAGGTTGTTGTGAGTATACATCCAAGAGGCATAGAATAGTGCATGGAAATTGTGGGGGATCGAGGTCGCGGTAGAACTTGCACAGTATGCCACGGGCATTACCTTGGAGGCGGTTTCTGGGTCGGCATAGTCCTCAACTGAAGCCAGGGTTTTGGTCTTCTTTCCTCTCCCATCAGATCGATGGATGAATACAAAGACCTCGGGAAGGGTCGGATCCACGCAGAGTTTTTCCCCAAATATTCCAAACTGTGGCGCTGACAAATCCATGATGTACTGGAGCGGTCTTCCATCATCTCCATGCGTCTTGAAGGTCAACCAAGTATGGCAACAATTCCAACTGTCCATCACATCCACATCTGCTCCTGCAGGACCTCCTGTCATGCGGGATGCCACCATGCTAGTGAAGGGTCCCTTCACTTCGATAACTGGGCTTCGAGAATGTGTTGCGACTTCCGAAAGGAAATGCAAGTAGCCACCACCCTCGATCCTGACATCGAAGACAGCGTGGCCTGCAAAAACCAGTGTGATCTCCGGCTCTAGCTGCTGCAACATGACGCAAAAGACCATGGAGGCCTCGTTGCACTTTCCCACACAAAGAAGTCGGGACAACAAGCGTAGAGTAGCTTCGTAGCCCCCCAAGTCGCGCTGCATCTGTGCAGACTTGCAAAGCAGAAAGGGGCCGTCGGTGCCAGGCTGCTGACTTTCTGCAATGCAAAGTGCAGAATGTGGGTAGGCCAGAACTGCCGTGTAGGAAGGTCCACCGAACTCGCAAGGAATTTGCGTGGCTACAACCTTGTCGATCACTCGAACATCGAACTTTTTGTGATGACGTGGTCTGAACTCACTTCAGCATCATAGTCTGGTGGAATGCCATTCGAGAAGACAAATGCTGCACCTCCTTGCCCAAGATGAGGCCGAAACATAGATTCTAAAGACTTTGCGTGAACTGGCTGCTCTTTCAGGCGTTTTGTGCTCGCAGGCACAGCAGCTGGCGAAACCACCGCCAAACACACTGACACGTTCGGAACGAGGGACTCCCACTCTGAAGGCACAGGAACCGCCTCTCCTGTTTTTCGAACGTCCACAACAGTAAGGCCGGCATCTTTCACGCATCGAGTGAAAACCTCAGCTTCTGGTTGACCAGAAGGCTCGCCGATAATGAGCTTAAGACTATCGCCCACTGCCTCAATCGCTTTGACATGTACCTGGATTTTCTGCTTTGTGCAGCAGGCACCGCAATAAGCCTTCTGTGTATCTACGCCGCTCCAAACATATTGGCACTCGGCCACTGTTTCTGCGGCAAGCCTCTTGAGGTCCAGAAGCGCACAAGCCTCTCGTGGGAGCTTTCGCAAGTTCTTCTTCTTGATGCTCTTGATCCAGGTTGCTGTGTCGGCGTCTGCAATGCTCTTGGCCTTCAGGGAGCCTACGCAGACTCCGTGCCGTCCCTCCGCGACGTCCGCGGGGAGGGAGACTACCTCTCCTCGAAGATGGTTCAGCATGGATCCTGTGATTGACTCAAGGCCATGTATTTCAACAAAGTCCCCGATCTGAAGATCGGATGAACGAAAATCATGGCCGTGAAGCACCGACAGGTTTGATGCCTTGATCTTCTTCACAAAGAGTTTGTTATGAACCTTCCCGCGGTGGCAACCGGCCACAGCGCCACACTCAACTTTGTAACGCGGGTCAGCATCATCCATGGCATCGTCTGACGGCGCTTCTATGATACGCCCAATGCTGCCATTCAAGTACTGCCACTCCTGTGCCTTGACGGTCACGCGCACATAATCCCCCACCTCGAATCGCTGCCGCTCCATCACGAGCGCAGAATGTCTAGGCCGAGCGTGCTGTGTACTTAATCAACGTTTGCCAGATGAAGTGCAGAATCACGGCGACTCACTGCGGGACGTTGGGCTCTAAGTCTACAAATGTTTCGATCCAATGGGCGAAGCCACTTGTAAGAATTGAGCAGGTGCAACTATAGCGCTTTCCTTCATGTTGACTTTGCGATCCACACACACACATGCAATGCAGATTCTGCAAATGTCACTTCCAGGATCTCCGCCACCCCTTGTATTTCTTTGGACTGTCTAGAGGAAGCGCTGCAGGTTTGAAAGCAAACCCTCAACCCTCAACCCTAAACCCACACCCTGTGCTGAATGGAGTTAAGAGAAACGATGCAGGCGATACCTGGGGCCTGTCCAAGCTTGCGGCAAAAATGAGCCATCAAAGAACGAGTTGTATATAACCTGATATAGACCCCGAAACCTTATGGTCGGCTAATGTTGCTTTTTTAACAGGAGACCAAGCTTCACCACCTATGGCCGTTTATGACAGAAGTAGCCGACACCAAATTTTGTGAAGATTGCTCCACACTTGTGAATACCAGAATAGACAACCACCCGACTAGGCAAACAGAGCTGACAAAATCAGAGCTCCGTGGTTTAGGGTTTATGGTTTAAGGTTGAGGGGTTGAGGGTTTGCGGTTTGTGGGGATGAGGGGGTGGAGGGGCTGAGGGGCTGAGGAGTGGAGGGAGCCCAAACCCCTACAAGCCCTATAAAACAAGAAACACACCCTCCCAGCGTACGTCCTGGTCGTGTCGTGTCTTGATGGCATTGGCCTCTTGGTATGGAAACTGCACGCCGCCGCACCCCTCCCCACAACAAAGGCACCGAGGGCTGGGCCATACTGCTTTGGGCGCCTACTTCAGCAACCCACTTGAGACCAAAAGCGGCAGGCGATTGCAGGGCACAATGCGCAGAGCGATTCCGTACGCGGTTGGGGACTTGGGGCATTGTATGTAGGGCCGGTTGGCAGTCTGAGATTCGATGCACGGTGAGGCGTTGAGGGAAGCTTCCGCAGGCCTTCCACGCAGAAGCGTCCGGTGTGGAATCTAGAGTCTGGGGATTGCAAGTCCGCAGTTGAGAATGCAGGTTTCAAGCCCGTAGAATTTGTGGACATTATAGTATGCCACCAAGGATAAGATGATACAATATCAGAATTCGAGAACGAACTAAGAATAGAATGTATAAAGAGTGAAAGGATGAAAAGGGATTACTTATCCGTGAAACAAATGCTGTAATCCTTAAACTGAGAACGAATGAATAAGATATACGGGAAAAAGACCAATCAAATAGCAAAGAATCCAAAAGAACAGATCCCAGCATAATGAAGATATGAATATTGAGAGCTCGTTTAGAATATTCTTCCAGGTGAATCATTTTCGTGGCCTTGCAGCAAAACCCTTAAAACGATAATGCCAGATGTAAGTATGAAAAATACCAAGAAGTATTAACAATGGTGCCGGCTTATTGTTCACCCGTCAGTACATTACTATCAGGCACGATCTTCTCTGCAACGCAAGCCTGCATGGCTTGAAAACAAATCAAAAAACACAAGGGAGGCTGGCGGCGGGGGGGGGGGGGAGGAGTATTTTTGACGAAACAAGCCCTCAAAGCCTAGGTTCCCCAATGGCCCTTCTCTGAACCATTCCAAGAGCTTAAGGCCAGCCCGCAAAATGCATGGCTGCATGAGGATAGTGGGACTTTTGGTAGGGCTCCATGGGACTCTCTCGGCTTTTTCTTCTCAAGCAATCTGCCGCCTGCGATTTCTGTGGCCCTTTTGCAGCTCGAGGTTGAGCCTTCAAGCTGGCTTCAGGCAAACCCCAGGGTGCTGCGGGCCCACACGGAGAATTCGACTCCTTGCCGCTCTTCGCGCCGCGGCAGGTCGATGTTGGCTCCGACGCGGCCACGCCTTGAGTTCGCGCTCTGAGGGTCTATGGAGGCCAAAGGCCCACGTCACGCTACTGCGTAGACCCCAGGTACAAGTTCTGCCTTCAAAAAACTTTGCAAGCTTGTATCACTCCAAGGTGGTGAAGAATTCTGACGCCGAGCCACCTGGCTTGGAATTGGATTTAGCTATACTACCATCAGAAGTCAAGAGACCTGAGCGGGGTGCAGATAGCCGGCGTGAAGGAGAGCAGCTGGGCAGTAGCGTTTGATTGGGATAGTTCTTGGTGGGGATATACAGGCAGTGTTCATACCTCACTCGAAGGAACCATGGTGTCTTTTTTTGTATCCAGCCTGCAGTCGAGCGCATCGATGCAGAGGGCAATGCCATCGAGGTAGACTACCCACTTGGAAGAGTCTTGCTCGCCTCGTGGTGTGGAGAAAAGTCGGAGCAAGAGTAGATCTGGGCGGAAGAAGGCTATGAACACCTTCCCTGACACCAGGCTTGGTTTATTGAACTCACTTTGAAACCCTGAAGAGCTATGTCAGATAGCACAAACAAAGGAGCCATCAGTCCTGCAAGCGGAAGAAGTCCACAAACAACATGCCCTTTTCTTCTTTTGAAGGGCTGCATCTAAATCTCCGAAGTAGGTCCCAACAGCCCAAACCTCAAACCCAAACAATCCTAAACCCGAGAGTGGAAGACGCGTGCGGTTCAGCGCCAACTCAAGCAGGAAGGTCGAGGTTACTCTGTCTGAAACTCTACTTGGTCCCCACTCCTCCACGCAGGGGGAGACTTCATTATTCCTCTACCTTACAGAAACAAGGAGATGTTTTAAAATCCGAAAGGCAAGGAACCTGCACAGCTGCATGTAGAACTTGAAGCCCTAAACCCGAAACCCAATTCCCTACACCACAACGGCCTGTTGGCAGGTTCGGGCTGTCAGGATACGCTGGAGCCCTGACATTTGTTTACGGTTCAGAGCAGGGCCCTGAGCCCTCACCCCTAGACCCTATAAGCCCTGAACACCGTTTAGATTGTGGCGACCCCAGTATCGCAGCCACAAGCAGCTTCTGGGTTACTCAGAGCAAGGGGCAAGAAGGGAAACCCTTCTTCTTTGGCTTAATGGGTCTTGTGCTCAGAAGGCTTGAGTACTCAAAAGGATTCAAAAGAGTTTGGGGTTGACTTGACTTAGAAGGGAGCTTAACCCCAACAGCAAGAGAAAAGGGCGCCGTTCAAGGTCCCAGACATGCACAGAGCTTCATGCGGCTTGGAGGCGACATCGCCGATCCAGCTGATCATCGCTTTCCCTTGCTTTGGGTCCCTAAATCCTAACCCCTGAACCGCTTCTGGGTCCCCCACCGCCCCCGACCCCAAAACAAGACCCTATAAACCCCAATGCGGGTAGGTAGGGGTGGGGGGGGGGGGGGGAGCCAAAGTTTGGTTTGGTTTAGGGTGAAAAAGGCTCAGCAGTTGGAGCTGAGAGTGCTGACGAGTCTCCAACTTTAGGGTTTAGGGTTTAGGTTTAGGGTTTGGGGTTTAGGGTTTCGGGTTTAGGGTTTAGGGTTTAAGGTTTAGGGTTTAGGGTTAGGGCTTAGGGTTTAGGATTTTTTGCACCCTGAACCCTGCACTCTAGAGCGCCACTAGGGCGCCATGGCAGGCCCCCAAGTTCTCAAGTGACTGGTTCCGAGTGCAGAAATTTGGGTTCCGGGGTTAGGCCTAAGGCTGAGGACGCCCTGGACCCATTGGGAATGCGAAGCCTGGGGCGCTAAACCGAGCCGCCCTGCTGAGGCAACTTGGGGTTTGGTGTGCTTAGGGCTTAGGGTTTCTGGCTTAGGGTTTAGGGGTTAGTCTCGGCTAGTGTTCCTTCAGGGTCCTGTCTGAAGCTGGGCTTTGAAAGGAGTCCGGGTATAGGGTTTAGTGCTCCATGTAGACTTTCTGTCCTTATAATACAGATAATCAGACTTCTCGTAAACCCTAATTGAACCCTTGGCCCTATGATAAGTCCCAAACCTTGACCCTAAACCCTAAGCCCAACACCTTTTTGGGGAGTGGGGGAGGGGGGGAACCAGGATTCCTTCCCGCCATGTTGCATGTTGGCTCGCAACGCTTAAAACAAGACAAGCAAGCGCAGCAACTTCGATTCTCCACAAGCTCTGCGTTGGAGCAGCATGTGGATCCGCGACTCTGGATGTCACTATGGGTGTAAGCCTAAACCCTAAACCCTAAACCCTAAACCCTAAACCCTAAACCCTAAACCCTAAACCCTAAACCCCAAAGCAAACCCTGGAAGTGGGCCTGAATGTGGTGGCTCCAAAAATAGGGGGTTCCTGCAACAAGGATTGTAGTTTTCTGAGGTATCATCATGCAACCCCTCTCTTGGGAAATGCCCATCTCAAAAAATCATGTCAACACAAGTACGATACGCCTGCACTTAACAACCTGAAAACTAGAACAGCTTTCGCAGCGTCCTTATCCTTCTCGTCCTCAGAAAAGTTTGGGGTTTGGAGCTTAGTGCCCCTAAGCCCTAAACCCCAAAACCCTAAAACTCCCAAACCCTCCAAGTGCATGGCTTGTGCGTCTTGCGGAACAGCGGCGGACATGTTCCGTAATATTGCCGAAGCCACAACTGGATTTCTGGATCGCCTTCAGGGATTGAAGTGGTTTAGGGGTCAGAGGGTGATAGGGGCTTAAGGGCTACATAGGGCTGAGGGCGGTTGATGGGGGGCGGTGATGGTTGTGAGACTGGGTTCCGGGCTGAGGGCTTCAGGGCTGGGTTTACGTTGCGAAGGTTTAAGGATAAGGATTTAGGGTGCAGGGCAGTACTTGAAGGCTCATGGGCAGTTACAAGCGGGGTTGCAAAAGTTTAGAGCCTTGAAGGTTGATGACTGCGTGCAACTTACATCTATTGGGGGCACTTGCTAGTGGCCCTTCTGACTACTCGACAACCGTCAAGTCAGGATGTAACTGTCGAAATCCTTGGCCAGTAGGGGAACACAATGTCTATCCCAGCCATCCCCTCAACAACGGTATCATACAGGGCCTCACTTAAACCTGAGCCCGTGGGAGGAAATTTAGGGGCTCACTTAGCCCTGAAGCGACAAGCTATGGCCGTTGGGGTGTTCTGAGCCAGAGATTACAGAAGACCAAAAACATACCTGGAAACTCCTGGTTCGTAGTAGGGTAGGGAGTTTGGGAATTTGGTATACCTCTATGCAGCCCTGTAAAAATCTCTATACAGCATCTACCCCACTAATTCTCGCTACTGTAAATCACCCTAACCCCCCAAACCCAAAAAGCCCTGAAACCCTGAGCCCTTGCTGCCTCTTCCTCCACGGTTGGGAAGAACCACCCCCAGTCATGCTGCTTGACCTCCAGTGCGCGACATAGCCAAAGCGCGCAAACTCAATTCTGGGCATTTAATAACTTTGTCGATCAAGCTTCAGCGCAGCTATCCTACTTACGGGATCGCATCCCACTGCCCCTGTTCGTGGCTTTCTGGCGTAAACAAATTTCAGGAGGTCAGTTGGGTTTAGGGCTTAGGGCACAGCATTTGCGCGCACTTAACCCATCCCTTTTCAGCCGAGCGGTGGCACATCCCGAATTGTGATGACGGTAGCAGAGCTTCATGGCAAGAACTTGTCTTCGATTTCATCGCAGAATTATTTGGCGCAACCTTGAGCAAGATGTGTTCCAAATTTCTGCAGGGTGCTGAGATAAGTAAGCACGTCCGAACAACTCACCTTGGTTGCTTTTCGGGCGGCACAGTGAGCGGCCTTGGAGGTCGTCGGCTGTTTAAGCATCCTAATGTTGTGTGGTCCTGTTTGCTTCAATTCTCAACAAGTAGAGAACATCGGGCGGCTCGCAGCTGCCGCCGCCCAAGTGCATCACTTACCCCTGATTGGAGCACTCTTGCCGGCTTCTTATTTCTCGCATTCTGCTAAGACGCACAGCTTTCGTATCATTGGCAGATGCCCGTGGGTGCATGACAGACTGGCAGCAAAGGAATTCTGGGCGTTTAATGTTACAACAAGTCATACGATGGTCTCGAGTCCCGCCTCCACTTGTGGAAAGAAGCTGGACCAGTCGGGGGCGGAGCGTGGGAGGCTGTGCAACACCGCCTCGACCCACATGGAGCGGGTTTGAGGATGTTCTTTGGGGCTTTAGTTGAGTCAGTTACCGACATGGCCGTTGCCACCGACATGCCCACTGTGTCTGGGACTCAAAAATGCACGTGGCCAAGATGCATGGGGTTTACGGTCGGTTTAGGGTTTAGGGTTTAGGGTTTAGGGTTTAGGCTTTAGGCTTTAGGCTTTAGGGTTTAGGGTTTAGGGTTTAGGGTTTAGGGTTTAGGGTTTAGGGTTTAGGGTTTAGGGTTTAGGGTTTAGGGTTTAGGGTTTAGGGTTTAGGGTTTAGGGTTTAGGGTTTAGGGTAAGCTCTCAACAAAATTCCAGCCGCACCCTGACGCTAGAAGCCAGGATTGAGTCCAGGTTGAACCCCTGCAGGCCGCATCCCTCTCGCCTCGGTGTGGGGTCTCTTTGCCGGCTTTCTTGAAAGCCTTGGCTGATGAGAAAGCACCTTCAACGTGGCCAGGATTGGAGGTGGACAAAGGTGTCCACTCGTGATCGAAGCAGTCTGCACTGAAGGCCCTGAACCCTCAGCCCAGAAGCCTCGCGTAATGCCTGTTAAGCTCACCAGCTGTCGTGGGGTTGCAGAAAAGGTGCATATCGCGGCACAAGTCCTTCATCTCCTCGCGGCTGAAAGAAAGAGGCACAACACCGGCATGGGCCTCTCTTCCAACATCCGACGCAACAGCTGCCTTTCCATACTGACACCAGGCATGGGCCGACGAAAAGAGGAAAAAGATGGAAACAGGACGAGAGATCATCGAAAGACTCCAAGACCCTAGGCCCTAAGCCACCCCACATTCCCGTCCGGAGCGAAGGGCCCGTCTGCGTCAACCAGTTTCTCGGTGCAGATCCTGAGTGTGGCTTCAGGGTGCCGGGCCGACCGCGGCGGGTTTACGAACATCGTCCCTATCAGCTGGCATCTGGTTCTCATATCTGTCAGTCACCGCTGAGGTTTTGGCTTCGCTCTCCTCACAGAAGCCAAGCCCTGCAAGCTCATGCCCTGCAACAGCAACGCCAAACCGCAATTGTTTAGGGTTTAGGGTTTAGGGTTTAGGGTTTAGGGTTTAGGGGTTAGGGTTTAGGGTTTAGGGTTTAGGGCTCAGGGGAATGTAGATGCCAGGCCGCACGACGCGCAGCTTCGACTCGTCCGCTGTCAGGTACGGCGGGCTGCCCCCACTCATCATTTCGAAGAAGGAGCCTTCCAAGCACAATTGAACAAGAGGGCAAGAACATCCCCACGCAAATCAGGCTTTGAAAGCCTCACAGCCCGATAGCCCGCTCCCCTCCCAGCGCCCGTAGCCATGACATCACACCAGGGAGCAAGGATCGCAGTCAGAGGTGGACAACATACTGCAGAACGGGAATGCTCAACACATCTCAGCATCAACACTCGGGGGGTTGGAAAGCAAAACGATATCAAGCAGAGAGGCATCCCAGTGCCCACATGTCGCTGGCAATGGAGTACCTGGGGCTTGTCAAAGGTTCGGTTTTTCAAGCTTGGGGTCTGCAGCTGGCGCTGTTCATTTTAATTTGCATTCTGTTGTGAAGGCCCTGTCCTCACTTCAGGCTTTGGGGGATGGGTGCCTGATTGATCACAACGGCTCTTTCGGCCAGCCCTGCCGGGGCCTTCTTTCCATAAGACATGAGAAGAATCATGGAGACCATCTCCGTGGCACCACCCCTCCCCCCCATGACAGATCACACTACACATGCCCTCCGGGCGCAGTTCTTGCAAGCCCAACGCGAGTCCGCCAAGCGACTTCGCGACCTTTTTGCCGCAAATCTCTGGCGCCATGTACAGCAGCCTCGGGGCCGTCCGGGGGTTTTTGCGCAGGGCTTCCTATTCTAAGGTTCGAATGTGTACCTCATGAGAACATGTTCTCTTTGGCCAAGCTTGGGGGGGAGCAACTATGAAGCAGGCTAGAACACCGAACCTTCGCCTAGCATGCCTAGCATTGCTTCATTTAGGGACGCTTCTTTAGTAGTACCCAGCACTGCTGTGACTTTCTCGGCCGCTTTCAGCCCAGCGGCGTGCCAATGTGGGCACCCTCGATGACCTCCTGCGCCTCAGCAGCTAGGCTTTGCATGCAAGGAGCCTTTCGTGAAATGGGCGCTGCCCGGCGCTGCTGGAACCAACCACCGGGAGGGATCCACGTCAGAATGCTGGTACTGGTAAAGCATGCCCACACGAAACGGGAAGTAATTGGTTTCAGCCTGGTAGTTCTCCACGGCACACACACCCAGTGTCCCAAAAGCTGCACCGAATCTTCATCAGAACTACGCCTGGCCAAAGCTCGATGCGCAATCCCCACACAGACAACAGACAGACGCTAGAAGTGCAGCTGATGATAGCTGCGATATCAACAAGCATGACAACAACATACAATAATACCAAGAAGAACAAGGTCAGCGGCTCCGTCGACGACGTGGACAGCATGAACGCGGATCTTCGCCAAAATTGGATTGTTCATCGGAAGTTACAGTGTTTTCGGCCGCGTCGCGAAACCCCATTTGGTCGAAAAACTTGGTTTCGGAGAACATAGCGCAAACAATGCAGACGAACACGAAACGCCAACAAACAAAAACATGAAAATGTGCAGAATATAAAACCAACAACCAACTAAGAACTAAATCCATCAACTCTTGCATCCCAGCAAACTTATCTCCCGCACATCCTGAATCCATAAGTATTGCATCCCAGAAACCCTACACTGACAAACGCTTGTGCCCCATAAACCCGACACCCACAAACTCGCAAATCCCAGAAATCATCCCATGGCTGCTACACCCATACACTCTTATACCTCACAAACACGAAGTCCGTAAGTCGTATCCCAAAGATGCTAAATCCATAAGCGCTTTTTTGCCAGCAACCATCCAGAAATCCTAAACCCATAAATTCTTACATCCATCGATGGGGGCTCTGGCCATTCGCACATACTGGCAACATGGACGCAATCACTGTGCGGCCTTGGACGCTCTGGCCATTACACAGACGTAATCATCGTGCGGGCACAGATGCTCTGGCCATTCCATGCGCAATAACGCGAGGTTTGCCAGAGCCCCCCCTCCCCCCTCCCCCCTAAAAAAAGCGCTGCAAAAATCGATGCTTTCAAAGGGTTCGAAACAACAACGCGGACCAAGACTCGAAGTACCTTCCACGGCCACGAGGGAGCCGCTCGGAAAGAACAAGAACACGAACAACAACTCAAAGAGCAGCAATAACTATGCTTACAACAACCAGCAACCACAATCTGCAACCATGGCAAGCTGAATGGCAAAAATAACAAAAATACCAATAGGAACCAAGAACCATTCTCATGCAAAAGCAGAACACCAACAGCGAAAATTCCCGGCAATGCCATATTGAGGCATTCCTCCCTCAAAGCTGCCCTGAAACAAATCGTGCACTTGAGCCGGAAGCCGAACCTGCCATGTGAAGCCCCTTCGGTTTAGGGTTTAGGGTTTAGGGTTTAGGGTTTAGGGTTTAGGGTTTAGGGTTTAGGGTTTAGGGTTTAGGGTTTAGGGTTTAGGGTTTGGGGTTTAGGGTTTAGGGTTTAGGGTTTAGGGTTTTTTGGGTGACGCGAGATGCCACCCACAGTCCCAAACAACCAGTTTTTCGAAATGAACTTTGTCACTGGTTCTAAAGCACAGCTACCACATACCACAACCGTCCGCCCCTAAGTGACCCTGCCGCGCCACGGTTCCCAGCTGGATGGACGCGCCGAAGTCTGTAAGCAGCAGACGGCCATCACCAGCAATCAAGAAGTTCCTTGGATTGGGATGTGGCGACTGGACATGTCACTGAACTGTCGGACCGGGCCGCATCTCTTTGTGTCCTCGTAGGGGCTTTTTGGGCTTAGGCGGCTTAGGGGTTTGAGGGTTTAAGTAAGAGTTTAGGGCTTAGGGTTCCCTTCGCTCCCAACAAAACCCCACGAGAAGCAGGCAACAGAGCCCCGGGGGAGCCCCCCAATCCGGCAACTTTTCTCCTACTCAACATGGTTTTGGGACGTTTTCTGAAAAAGTGCCGTCACAACCGCCTCATCCTCTCATGCCCAGAATGGGGGGTTGGGAAACATGGCTCCCGGATGTTGAGCGGAGAACGCTGGGTGGGGAAAGAAAAGTGCGTTCCCAACCCTCCCATCCCGAGGCGGATTGGAAAACATAATTTCCGGCTGGCAACGTGTTGAGATGGTCCCACACTGCGCGTTTCACAGCCAAAAGAGCCCCATCGTGAGGATGGCATCTCTGCTCCTCCCCAAGATCACGCGCCCTTACTTCTCACGCACGACACAACCATGAGAATGACATCGAGGCTCAATTGGAAGACCCCAAGATATCCGGACCCTGAAGCGCCCTGTTCGCGGACGCAACGGGTATATACCCCATGCCCAGACGACACCAGCTGGAATCCCCAGGATCACGCGTGTTCGCAAGCCGCGCAAGCCGCGCAAAGCCGCGCAAGCCGCGCAAGCCGCGCAAAGCGCGCAAGCGATGCGCGGCTCTTCGCCACAGGTCAAGCACCCTTGTCATGCATGCAACTTGTACCCAAACGACAAAGAATGACCCACCCACGATGCGGCTTTCAACAAGGCGATGTCGGCCCAAGCCCTCTAAGGAGTAGCTTTCGAACTCAAATTCGGCTGGAGCACTCGTTCTTGATGTCACGGTGCAAGATACCGAGGCCATGCATGTATCCAACGGCAGTCACTTCCTGCAGAAGCGACAGCGAAAGTCCGACATGAAGCTCTCAATTCTTCGTGGCGAGTCTTGTGTCTGCCCAACGCCTCGACCCTGCAACGTCCTGCAGCTGTCTTGGCCTACGTTCCAGACAGCCTGCAACCCAACATCACGCAACTTTGATGCGGCTAGACATCGACCTTCCGGTCCTGATGTCTCACAAGGTTTGTCTTCGACGATTACTGCGAGACAAGCTGAACCAAACATAAGTGGAGAAAAAAAGCGACAACAGGGAAGAGAATGGCGCGGAAACAGCTCCAGGACTGTCCCAAAGAGGACGTGAACAGATGCTACGCAGCTGATGCCCGTCCAGCCTCCGAAATCCAGCGGAGAACTGCCGCCTGCACGTACTAGTCTCGGGACTGGGGTGGGGAGGTGGGGGCATGGGGCTTGTGCGGGACGCTGTGATGGAACCCTCAGATGTCGACCCACCTCAAAAACATCCTGAACCTCAACAACGGGTCAGGCAGGCCAGCTTGGCTGGTACTTTTCGCAGCCAAGTCCCTACGACCATAAGTACTTGCTGCTGCTTTTGTCCCCCAAATTGATCATCTACACCCTAAACCCTAAACCCTAAACCCTAAACCCTAAAACCCTACACCCTAAAACCTAACCTCCAAGAGCGCTCTTCGAGCTTCTTGGCCTTTTTTGGCCTTTGGTACAGAAAAATTGATTTGGGGTTTCAGTCCCAAACGGGCGGCCTCCTCCAACCACAGGCCGGCCTTGGTGCTTCGCTCCAGCTCCATCATCCTCACGTGGCATGCGTCGTGCTGTCATGTGCTTTCGGGATCTCTTGGAGGTTAGGTTTTAGGGTGTAGGGTTTTAGGGTTTAGGGTTTAGGGTTTAGGGTTTAGGGTATAGATGATGGATTTGGGGAGTTCCCCCTCCTCGGTGCAACACGACATGATATCGATGTCGAAAGAGGAGATAGTCATGTCAAATGGGCGTACAAAGCTGGCTTCCAGTACTCTGCTTTTGGAGGGAGGTTGCTGATTGGAGCAAAGTTGGGGCGGAGGCTCGCTCGCCCTGCTCCAAATCCAGGAAGGAGCCTGCAGCCCGACCCGGTTCTCAGCGCGGGAAGCTGGTCATTGCAGCCTAGCAGCACATTGCCGTTCGCAGCGTACTCCATGACGATGGCGGTGGTTGCCTGCGGATGGAGCTTGTCAAACCCCATCCACACGGATATCCACGGTTAACGGCTCGAGCTCTCTCTCTTCCTTAAACCCTCCCAAAAGAAAGACTACATCAAGAGTTGCTTCCCCTCAGGGGACCCCAAACAACCCTAGAACAACCAAACATTAAACCAAGAGGTACTTCCCTCGGGAGGGGGCCCCCAGAAGGGCCAAGTACTAACTCCAGGGCTGATTGTTTTAACGCCTAATCAAACCATTGCTTTCCCTCCACGTTCTGCTCCATTCTCCACACTCCACGCTCCACACGCCACACGCCACACTCCACACACCACACACCACACTCCACGCTCCTAACTCCACGCTCCACACTCCAACCCAGACCCAGCACTGCACGCCCGCCGACCCATGCTCCTCTCCATCCAGGCCCCACAAAGAGCATGACCTCATGCAACACCTTTAGGCCTGCCACATCAACTGAAAAGGGCTGGACCTGGGCAACTGACATGAAGAACATGAAAGCTGCATCTGCCTCCAGACAAAAGGAGTCGTAGAACTGGACAATGTTCCGGTGCCTAGTCTTGGGCAAGACAGAGATAGCTTAGCCGATCATCTCTTGACACTAGTCGACTGCTGCGTACGCCTCTCCTGCACACGCCGTGACCTATGTTCGAGCGTCTCTTAAGCAGTCCATTCTCAATTCTACCAAGTACCAACTATGCCACATCATGCCCTTTCAAAGAAACAAGGATGGCCCAAGTGGCTGCAGTTTCTTCATGAAGCTGACTTCGGCTTGCGCGTCCCCACGCTCGATCACCTGGTGTCACTGGTGGTGCTTTTTTGGGCTTTGGGGATGGAGTGATGATGAGTGATGTCACTCCCATGGCTTTGAGAGGTGTAAATAATGATGTGTAGTACTTGGCGTGCGCTTCAGCCCAGAAACAGCTGCTGTGGACACGAACCGGGAAAAGCCCCCACGTCCAAGTGCGACTCCAATTGAAAAACCCCAAACCTAAATCCCCCCTAGGCCCGACATGATGGGGGCAGGTTGGTTGTGCTGGCGGATGTCTCGCCCGCGATTGAGGCCGTCGCTCCGGGAGGGTCAACCCAAAATGTGCCACAAAAAGCCGCCCAGGAAGCCGAAATACTCAAAAGCACCACTCCCCAAACCGGAACCACTTCGTTACATCGATACACACGAGCTTGCAGGCCTCAAGTCCTCTCAACCCAACAAATCTGCAAACCCACGGACCTTCAAGCCCTCCGCAAGCCCTGGACGTCACCCCTTCAGGCCGTCAGAGCTGCCTTGATGGCCCGCAGGGGATTGCTGACCAGCACCACGCAGCCGAAGCCACCTTTTGGAGCTTGCGGAGACAGTGCCCTAAACCCTAAACCCTAAACCCTAAACCCTAAACCCTAAACCCAGTGCGGCTTCGGGAAGAAGGGGGGGGAGGAATATACCAACAGGGGTTGTCCGAACGCGGCCATGTTCGTGGCGGCAAGTGGCACAATGTGCTAATTGCAAGCTTCAGGGTTCTTAGGAGCTGCGATCCGCAACGACTCGATCTGCGAAAAGCACGTCCACAACTTCGGCGTGCCTTCTCCCAACGTCCTTTCGACGTCGAAGCCCAGTTTCAAGAGGCTGCTGGCCATGGCCGCGCAACGCTGGCGGTGGTTGCCTGCAGATGGACAAGGTTGTCAACCCCCATCCACGGTTTTGGGGGGTTGGGGGGGGCATGGTTCAGGAGCACCTGCTTCCCAGGAATCAAAGTGGTGGCATGTTTCAACTCCTCCCGCCTCGGATTCAGGCTGTAAGCCGGAGCTCACAATAAGCAATCAACATCGGACAAACCAACGAAAACAATTAAGTTCTGATTTCATGGTCGAAGACTTGCCCCTCTTCCATAAACCCTACGAAAAAATCACATCAAGAGTTGCTTCCCCTCAGGGTACCCCAAACAACCCGAGAACCGCTCTCCAGCCACGGGACGATGGCCCGCAGAAGGATGGCGGTGTGCCGCCGGTCGCCGGGGGGGCTCTCCCTGCCGCTTTTGGGTTCTTCGAAACGTGCCTGAAACCCTCCCCAAAGTATCCAGGTGCTCTGCCCTTGAACAAAACACAGCGGGCGTCGCGTATGATTTGGGGCGAGGCTATTTCTGCCTCGCCAGCCTTCACTTCGAAATCGTGGGAACCCTAACCCCGAAACCCTACTAAACCCTAATCTCTGCCCACCCGAATCCCGAGCCGACTGGTACTAGGGTGCTTCAGCCTGTGAACCATACCAAGGTTTGAGCTACGAAAGAAGCTCGGCGCCTGATCACCCGGAAAGTTTGAAGAGGCTGCTGGCCATGGCCGCGCCCAATGCTTTGCGTAGCCAGTTGTATTGCTCTTGTAGTAGTATCATTACCACTAGAATAACTACATGCATTTACAAAATATGACTTCGTACAATTTCTGCAAGTCCGCACAATCAGCCAAAAGCCAATACACTCCTTGGTTTAGTAGCTGACAATTTCAATATCATGTGTATATGTATATATACACATATATAATTATATATATATATATGGGTCACCGCCTATAGCGGTTCCCCTGTGTTTTTGCACATTCCCTGAAACCATTTAACCAAGAATCCCTCAAACCATTAAACCATTAAACCATTAAACCATTAAACCAATGGTTTTCCCCATATGAAAATCCACTAAACCATTAAACCATTAAACCATTAAACCATTAAACCATTAAACCAATGGTTTCCCCCATATGAGAATCCATTAAACCATTAAACCATTAAACCATTAAACCATTAAACCATTAAACCAATGGTTTCCCCCATATGAGAATCCACTAAACCATTAAACCATGTTCAGGGGGGGGGGGAACCATTGGTTTAATGGTTTAATGGTTTAATGGTTTAAGGGATTTTCATATGGGGAAAACCATTGGTTTAATGGTTTAATGGTTTAATGGTTTAAGGGATTTTCATATGGGGAAAACCATTGGTTTAATGGTTTAATGGTTTAATGGTTTAATTTTCCACCGGCTCAACGGCCCAACGGTTTAATGGTTCAATGGTTTAAGGGATTCTCATAAGGGGGAAACCATTGGTTCAATGGTTTAATGGTTTAATGGTTTAATGGTGCTCCTGCCGAGGTACTTCGACCGCAGCTGATGCTGCCGTGGCATCACATATTATCATATATGTAATATAATTTTCTGTATTACATACTCCTAAAATTCTGAATCGCAAGAAGTGCTCCCCGTATCTTTTCTTCCCCTCAAATATTGAATCGCAAGCAGTGTCCCCCGTATCTTTTCTGCTCATAAATATACGTATACTATATGGTCGCCTATGTTGATTGCGCCTCGGCTGCATTTAGACACTCAACAAACATGCGAGTTATAACCTGGGAGTGGTGGTTATAACCAGACACTGTTTCGAGAACCATGTTCTCATATTGCAGTGTCTACATGCTCGAGTCGTGAGACTTAGCAAGTTAGCACCATGAAGCGAGCAGCTCGTGTATCGGGCATGATGGAAATCCTCGGAAACGGCGCTTGTGTGCTTCAGCTCTCGCAAGTCAAAGACGGGCGTGATGTTGACCACACTGTACCCTCATGTAGTTGTACAGTTCCAGATTGTGCAAAGCTGAGAGCCGACATCGTTAGCGGTGTAGTGCCCTCACATCCCAGCAAGCGAAATCTGGACAAGACGGCTATCAACCATTACATCAACTATCTACAGCGGGATGCCGGGCTACCTCGTGGCATGAGTGGTGGATGGAATGACACCGTGCAAGAGAAACTACATGCTTGGCTCATGAAGGAGAAGAAGCGCACCAGAACCAAACAAAATGCGGGCACAGTCCATGCCATCACGGACGGCAGTGTGGAGGACCCCATCGAGGAGGCTAACTCGGATACTCAAGAGGCTCCAGACAAGCAGAAGTCCAAGGGCAAGAAAGCTATCACCATGGGCGAGGGGCACTCAAGCAAAGATAGCCGGGACGACAACAAGAATGCAGGGAACATCTCCAATGGCAACGGGGCCATCACCATGAGCGAGGGGCACTCCAACATAGAGAGTGGGGGCGACTCAGATAGTGACTCGTCATCCAGTTCGTCCTCGTCGGATTCCAGTGCGACGCCACAGGCCTCAAGCTCAAATGCGGCACGCCAACCTGCTGACAGTGAGTGTGTAGATATCACAAAATGGGAGCCTGAATGGCATGACGCCTTTCAGAGTCTCACTGTTTTGGAGGACCAGATTGGGGAATCGCAGAAGAAGCGTCGCATTCTCAAAGATGCGCTCCAGCATTTGGCAAACGCCCACAAGGCATGGGCAAACGCCTAGTGAACATACAGGTTCACTGTAGCAGCACACTTCTTCCCGCGGGGCTGACAGAAACGTGCTTTCTGCATTTATTGTAGTGAGGCGGTGTATCCTTGATGGTTGAGTGTGGCGAGAGCTGTGTATGCATGTGCTATCGAAAACGCTCACGCGCAGTGCAAATGCACATTGACAAGCATGTGCAGGTAATGGACAAGGAGTCCTGTTATAACCGGAGTCTCTGGTTATATCTGTCCTGTTGTGTGGTCATCGCCAAGCATTTTCTTTTCCAGCAATGCCTGGACAACCTTCGGCGTACGCTCGTGCTCTCAATGACATCAGGTCGTACGACTTCACTCCAGTGAGCACTCCCTTGATCTCCAAACAGGATGATGCGAACGGCTGTGTGGAAGATCTACCGCTCAAGAACGTTGAAGGCCGCTACCTCGCCAAGTTTGTCGTTGACATGATCACGGATGTGAAATTCTCGGCTGTGGATTTCGAAGGGCTTGAAGAACGCATGTTGCAGAACCAATATGATCAGCTTCCGCCTCCATTTTGTCCCAAAGTAGAGATCTGCGCTCCTTTCAAGATGCAGCTTGCTATCATCAAGACCAGCATCACGGACTGCGTTATCTTGAAGTGCTACACGTTCGAGAACAAGACAAACATCCGAACCGTCGAGGACATCGCGTATGGGACATTGAAGATGATTGATTTCACACCCAACTTTCGTGCTGGACCATTGGCCATTCAGTTGATGCTCAAGGAGATGTCGCACTGGCTGGCCTACTACACTCAGATATCGCCCAAGCCTCCCAAGGAGCCCAAGCCGAAACAAGAGACTGATGATCTTCAAAACGGCTTTGCTTACATCAAGTCTAACGGGCCGCGGACTAACATGGGCAACCAGCAGATCGAATGGGCAGAGATTGAAACCAAGCGTGCAGAGAGTCCACTCCATGGATGGTCGGCAGGCTTGGTGAAGGAGTGTCTTCGAGGGCTCACAAGTGGTAATGTCTATGCGAAAACTGTGGAGAAGTTCTATCTGACTCTCCACGACCTCTCGGGCTGGCTGTTAGACGAGGTGCTCGTGCATCTTCTTGGCGAACTGAAGGCGAAAACTCTTGTCTTCCTTGGCCTGGCCGAAAAGGGAAAAACGCCGGCAGCAGAAGCGATTGCAATGGCGGTCAGTGAGTATCACCTGCTCCGAGACAATCTAGATCCAACCATCAGGCCGGGTTTCAGAATTTGTGCGTCCTTGGATCAATTGCGTGGCGAGTCTGGCGAGAAGCATCGGCCAGACATTCTGGATGATCCAGATATGAACACACTGCCGATTCCCAAGCTCAAGAGTTTTCTTGACAGCACATTGCTTGAGTGCCACACGGTTGAACGATGGACAGCCGCTCGGTTCGTGCAACACCAGCTACGTGTGGTGTGTGACAACAAGGTGGACGAGAATGCAGAACCTGATGACACATGCGATACGACAACATCCTTCGAGATTTTCTTTGAGATGATCAAGCCAGCCTTCAACGAAAAGGCAAGCAGACAAGACATCATGGCATGCCTCAAACGAGCTCACTTTGTGGTCAACATGAACCACGCAGTCTTCTTTCGGAAGGCTGGCACTTCGAAAGGGCCCGTCACTCGCGTTCCCTACATCAATGGCAACAAGGATTTCCTCAGCCCTGTTGGCCAGAAGGTGATTGATGATATGCGCCAAGGCATTCCAGATCAGCCTGCGGACTGGGCTCAGAAGCGCCAATGGTCTCATGATCTTATGTCCATGCTCACAGAGACACAGCAGAAGCCTGCGCGGACAAGAGTTGTGTTTGAAGCCAACCTCTTCACTGAGAGCTCACAGAGGTACAATGAGATCAAACCCGACTTGCCGTTCTCAGGCCGAATCTGCCCTAATTTTTTATGCTCTGAAGATACACTCTCGATGCCAGCCAAGTCCACCTCTGTCGCCTCGATGGCACCTTCATCGTCGGCGGCACCTTCGCCCTCAGGGATGGCGCCTTCATTGTCGGCGGCACCTTCGCCCTCAGGCATCATGACAAAGGTGAAAGAGGAGTGTGTTGAAGGAGAAGGTTCGTTTGCCATGATGCTTTCGAATCCAGATGCGATTGGAGTCATTGACTTGGACCCCACTCCACCATCACCGTCACATAAGCGAATGCGTGGCAGTGACGAGATGGACTATGATAGCGATGACCACATGCCATTAGCAGGCGAAGACCCTGAGGAGTGAGCGGTTCCGACCTAGAGATCCCACTTCAGTTTGATCCCGGGTAGAGTGCACCAATCGGATGTGGAGCTAGGACAGCTTCAGTTTTGATCCGAGATAGAGCGTATGATGCAAATTCGGAGAGCATATGAAGCGGAGTCTGAGCCGGGGAAACTCTGATAAAGACTTCCTTATGCACCGGTAAAACTTGTGGTCTATGTGCAGGCATTTAGACGAGCATCGCAGCGAAATGTGATTCCATGTCTGCTTGCCCTGAAGGCATTTTGCTTACATGTGAGTGGGTTGATATGCCGTTGCTACCTAAAACCGGTGGCCTACATGGCAGGCGCTTGGATGACATCACTTTTCTTGACTTCCAGAAGAAGATGTGTGAAGAGTGGTTTCAGTCCGACACATCCTTCAAGCACTACATCATAGATCGACGGGTGCTGGATAGCAACGGGCAAAACGTTAGCTTGACATTGAGAGCCATTGCTTTGATGCTGCGAACTGGCATTATATTGGGAATGCACAAGTGCACGGAATGCAATGGTCCCACTCGGTTGGAGTGCTCTAATCCAGATGGGTGTTTGAGATACAGATGGACATGTCGGACAAGCGGACACAAACATATGAATGCTCCCGTCAACTTTCACGGGTTCATGAAAGAGATCACAATCAGCAATTGGCTAGCATTCCTTCACATGCTGAATATGCTACGCCTGGGTATGCCTTGGGTACATATCATCAACGAGCTTCAGTTCGGCTATGGCAATATTAAGGAGCACACGATGACTCAATGGCGTCGATCTTTTCAACAAGCCTTGGGGAGGGCGTTGAAGAACATGGACCAAATGATGATAGGAGGACTGAACTACACCGTCGTGATTGACGAATGTCTGGTTGGCACACATCCAGAGGATGGCTGGTCAATGGGCAACAACGGCATCAACAAGAGTGGCTACCCACAGGAACGAAGCAATGTGCGTTCTGAGACCCCTTCCATGAAGAAGGCCCAGGGTATGAAAGTCCTCCCTGCGAGGACACTCAGAAAAGGTGAAAGCAAGGCGGCGGGATCGTACACCCTCCTCAAAAAGCCTGCTGCCGTCATGAAACGTCCATCTGCCGCAGTGAAGAGACCATCGACCTTTACCTCCATGAAACGTCCTGCGGCGCATCGACGTCCTCTTCGTGTACTGAAGAAGCCCGCGCAGAATCTCAAGCTCAATGGAAAGTGGTTGTGGCTTGCTGTGTGTGTTGGTCGTGGGTCTAAGGTCTTCACACATGGAAATGGTTTGAAGAAGATCACGTACAGACTCTTGCCACGTACATCCCAGGCTGTAAATAACAAGCCTCGTGGGCTGCATGAGATCAGGGACACTCTGCACAGTAGGGTTCGCAAGCACAGTACCCTAGTCTTTGACGGGTGGACTGCTACTACAAAGGCAGCAGATCAGTTAGGGTACAAGCATCCACCATCGGTCAAGCATGACAAATGCTTCCGAGATGTTGCCACTGGTTTCCATACCAATGATGCCGAGTCAGAGAATAACCGCTTGAAGAAATGGTCTCGCCAGCGGCACGGGTACTTGCGTATCGAAGAGCCCGATATGCAGGAGTACATGTTCTATGTTAATGTCGGTAGCTCCATGATGTCAGTGCTAGAGGGCCTGGCACGGTCGAATGAAGGTGGCAAGTGCAGAAATGCATTCATCGCCATCTAAGCACATTCGCGACAGTCGCGACAACAGTGGGGAAAAAATCCAGTGCGACAGTGTGAGCTGCAAAAAAAAACACCTGAATAAAAGCATGTGCGCACCATCTGAGGTGCCTACGTCCTCGTCAGCCTGGACGAGCTCTACAAATATATATACGAGTGGGTATGTGTCAATAGAATATATAGGGATATAAGTTATAACTCATATGTTGTGGTTATAACTGTCATTCAGTGTTAGATTATACATACGGTTATGACGTTGAAAAAACTAAGGGGAACCGCAATAGGCGGACGCCCATATATATATGTATATGTCAGCTATGCCAGGCCTTTCGACGCTGGGCAGCGAGCATGAGTGAGATTGTACCAAAACGACGGTCATGCCGTGCTGGAGGCGCTATTATGTTGAAGAAGTGCAGCGTGAAGGCAACTTGTGAACATCGCTTGCTGGGAACGACTTGCGATTTGCTTGCGCAGTGGGGGCATCACTACAGTTGCCAATGGGCTTGTTGCCATCTGGCCACTCTGCCACCCCAAAGAAGATGCTGGCGCCACTGCGCGCAACATCGGATGGGGCCGTGGCGACATAAGCCTCTGCTTGCACTTTTCTCACATCTGCTCCAGTGAGGCATGGACAACTGGAACAGCTAGGTGACCCATGCTAGTCCGCATTTTATCACTTCAACTGTGGATGACAACTGCGTGCAATCAAATGGCATGTGCGTGTGCGTGTTCGTGCGCGTGCGGCCTGATTCTGGCTTTCTTGATACCAACTCATTATGTAAGTTGACCAAGCATGCTACAGTCAGGCCATGCCTGCGGAAGCCAGTCTGTCATGTCGTCAGACTTACCCGTTCAAAAAACGGTTCTCAGCAATGAGGCACACGCAGTTTCTCCTGCAGCCTATGCAGATACCACGGAAGGTTTAGGGTTTAGGGTTTAGGGTTTAGGGTTTAGGGTGATAGGGGTTTAAGGGCTACGTAGGGCTAAGGGTGGTTGATGGGTGGCTATGATGGTTGTGAGACTGGGTTCAGGGCTGAGGGCGTCAGGGTTGGGTTTACGCTGCGAAGGTTTAAGGTTAAGGATTTAGGGTTCAGGGCTTTATTTGGAGGTTCATGGGTAGTTACAAGTGGGGCTTGCAAAAGTTTAGAGATTTTTTCAAGGTTGGAGCGGGTAACATTCATGATGACTGCTTGCAACTTACATTTATTGACTTGCTAAGAGCCCTTCTGACTACTCGAGAACCATAAAATCAGGATGTAGGCCATTCTGGGGAAGGATCGTGAAAACTGTCTGTACCGAAGTCGACTGCTGTATAGGTTGTACCGACATAGGACAGTGCCGGGATGTGCCAAGGCAACACCTTCACTGCGACGAACAAACTGCCACCCTCAATGATTCTTTCTGCCCACAAGGGAGCCAGTGACGTCTAACGTCTGTGGATTAGTAGGTGCGTAGGCCTCTTTAACTGTTGGGCATCCCGCATGGTTCAGGAACTATATATAATCTTCCTCGATCTATATACAAAAGTTCTCAGAACTATATATAACTTTTCCAGCAGATGATTCGAAATCGTTCCAGATAGTCCGGAACCGCTCGGAACCGTTCTGGACTATATATGAACCCGACGTTTATAAATAGTTCGGAACGGTTCCGAGCGGTTCCGGGCGACTTATAACCACTGTGGGGCTATTGTTGCCGCTTTGATTTGAGCGATGGTCGGCGATGGTGAAACCCGGCAACATAGTCGGCTGTTGGAATCAGCTCTTGGAAGCCTTTGCCTGCTTCTGGGAACCTACGCTTCACCACCACGAGGCACTTAGCAGCCTAACCCCTGGCACTTAGCAGCCTAACCCCTGGAGCCCTTGAACCCGCTGCGACAGCCTTTGGGAGAGAAAGAACATGAAAGGTTTACCCTACACTCTAAACCCTAAACCCCAAACCCTAAACCCTAAACCCTAAACCCTGTTTCTGGCGAAAAGGCTTCGAGAGCTGATTGCCTATTGGGCAGAGACCAGCGCCAGCAAGATGGGAAATCCAGGGGGCCTGGGCAGCACAGGACGCTGTAGGGTTTAGGGTCTCGTTTGGGGCTCCCAAAGGCTTTCAAGTCTGCATGTGGAAGGCTGAGGCAGAGCTGAAAACCCACGAACCACGAACTGCTAAAAAACCTTAGACGCTTAAACTCTAAACTCCAAAAAGGCTCCAAAACCCTCGAAACCCCCCGAACCACCAAAAAACACTAACAAACCAAAGCATCCCCAAACCTCAAAAGCTTTACAAAGCCCTTCCACTTAATGGAGCCCTAAACCCCGGTACTTCAGCCCCACCTGAGGAGATCACGCCATCGAGCAGGTGGACGTTGGCAATCTCGTCAGACAATGATCTTGCCGAGAATTCGGGTGTAGGCACAAGGTTTTGGGGTTCGGGTGTAAACCAGGTTGGCAGTTGAAACCCCTATTAATGCACATGCAGCAGGGTATATTCTTGGTGAGTGTACAAAAGGTTCCTTTTTAATACTGGTGAGTGTAGATAGATATTGAGTGTCCGTTTGGGGATACAAGAAATACATACCCTACTTCATATGCGCTTATCCAACTGTCATCCTCAGATGTTGCCTGCAGCTTGGTGTCGGCAACCCAGCAAGAGAGGCAACCAGCCATTCCCAAGTAAGGACCCTAAGCCCGAAACCCGAAACCCAAACTTTAGAGGTTCCCCTGTTAAAGGTGTATGGGTGAGGGTTCGGTAATTCATTCAGGGGGCTACCTCTATAATCTAGAAGTTGGAGTTCAGGGTTTAGGGTTTCGGGTTCAGGGGCGGCTTTTTTCGGAACGTTGGCCAGGACTCGAGGCTAGACCCCGTGTGCGATCCCCCTCTGCGCAGCTACTCATGCTGATGCTCGCCAGCGGGACGAAGTCGTGGGACCAGTTGGACAGGGTATGCAAGGGCTGCGCCACCGGCGCGACCCAGGGGCAGCATGCCTTCAACATGCACTCCGTACACACACGGAAGACCCCGGACTCAGAAGTCGGGCTAGCACCGCTCTGCCTGGCTCTCGCGTGGCTCAGCAGGTATGACAGGTATGCCTGTCCAGACGCTGCCGGCAGCGTTCCCCAAACGCCTCGTCCGGGCTTGTCGCTGTAGTAGTGCCAATGCTGGGAGCGGCCCTGGCGAGATTCCATGTCGAAGAACCTGACTTTAGGTGAAGAGGAGCCCTTTCCATAGGCTTTGTTTCTCACCCCCACCCTATTCAGGGATGCAGACTTCGGCTGCTCGACAGAATTATGTAAAAGACGGCCATCCTCATGACTAGAAAAAGAGGAGGTTCAAGGAACAAGGGCAGGGCCCAAGGGTTCTCGTCCACGAATATGACTTGAGCGTTCAGCTTCGCTCTCATAGCCTCAGGCCAATCGGAGAAGACCCGGTGGAACTCACCTGGTGGCGCTTTTTGGGCGGGGGGGGTGGCGGGGGCGGGGGGTGTCTAGGGTTTAGGGGTTGAATGTACCTACATTCTTACGGTACCCCAAAAACGGAACCCTCAACACTAAACCCTAATGCGGTTGATTGCCCTGGCCTTTTACGCCGTCTATCCACGTCTCGTTGGGAAGCTTGACCCAGCACTGGTACTTGGAGTGCCAAGGCCCCAGTTTCTTTGCCTGTGGGCTGAAACTGAGTTGCCACAAAATCAGGGATCAGTGCTTCGACTAGAATAATGATCTTATGAATAAAGTAAGTCTCTTCAAGCCTATCACCTTTATGATGATCGCTTAACTAAATTAAGTTGCTTCTACACAAAGGAGCCCAGGTGCTGCCAGCACCAGGGTCCCCTGAAACTCTTGAAGCGTTTGGTTCAACTGACGGAGGCCCTCCATCACCGGCTTCACCACCTCAAACTCAACAACGATCACGTCCGCGCCCTCCCTCATGATCTGGGCCAGCCTCTTGGTAGGCCAGGAACCCCAGTAGGGATTAAGGGTTTAGTGTTGAGGGTTTAGGGTTTAGGGTTAGGTAGGGTTTAGGGGATGAGGCTACCCCTTGCCATTTTTTTTTTTTTTTTTGGGGGGGGGGGGGGGGACTATCACCCAGAAGAAAGGGCAAGAGGGCGCAACTCCGGGCTACGCCGAAGGCCTCCCAAAGGCGGCTCGGGACTCTCCTTCGCTGTAGCTGGCGATCCGGAAGTCGGAGTAGGAGGCCCGGAGATTCCCAACCTCTTAGGGTAGCATTCGATGGGGGGGGGGGGGGGAGCCTTAGAAGGGCCCCTGAAATCTGATTCCCCTATTTCTAACCCCTTATGTACACCTTACAGTGTCCCCATGTACCTACGTAGCTGCTGCAGTACGCCTAAGGTCCCCTTCTTGGGTCCCTTCTGTGCCTGGGTGTCGAACCACCCCCAGCACTTCACGGCAGTCCCAACGCCCGGCAGCTGCGACCGGTGCTCCGAGAAGAACCCCCGACTCCCGGGCGCCAGCCAGTCCAGCAGTGCATGTGGAGTGCCTCTCGGGCTTCGGGCGCGTTGAGCCCGGGCGTTGGGCGTTCTTTTTTGGGGGGGTGCTTGCGGGACTGAGGGCTAAGGCTGAAGAAGCTTTGTTAGGGGTTTTGGGGTTTTTTCTTTCTTTCTTTTTTTTTTTGTGGGGGGGGGGGGGGCTTATCCGGGTAAGGGGTCAAGGGTTTAGAGTGTGTATCGGCTATTGCGCTGGGCTGCTCAAACTCTCAAGCCTACACATCCAAGAAACCTCCAAAAGCCCCCCCCCCCCCCCCACCCCCAAGGCCCTTGAACTGAACCCTAAAACATCCCCACGGCCTCCCTTCACCCAAAGAAAACCCGGAGCCCAAGCCCCAACCTAAACCCTAAGCCCCAAAAAACCGGAAACCCAAAGACCTTAGGCCGATACGCTAAACTAGTCTGGCCCTAAACATGCTTTGAAAGAGGTTCCTGGATATGACTTGGGATGTTCCCCCCTTTAGTTACTAACCATCCTAAATAAGGAATTAATAATGGGGGGTGGTTCGATCATCCCTCAATAGGTACTGGTAGTATAAAGGGAGAACAAAACACCAAGCCAGCCTCGCGTGATCGAGGACCCCAAGAAGGCGATCCACAGCGTCCGGCCGCTCCACGCCGCCCGCTCCAGGGCAGCTTCTGGGCAGTACGAGTTCCAGTAGCCTGAATTTGAGGTTTCTGAACATCCCCGAGAGCCCTTAGCAGCCCGAAGTATATCCCCCCGATGCATTCAAGATGCATGCCCTGTGTGTTTTTTCTGTAGATTCTTACATGACTTGCACATTTCCAGGCTCACCATCTCTTCGAAAGGCCCTGGCAAAAGGAGCACGAGAAAACATGCCCGAGAAAGCGCCCCCGAGCGACAGCTGGGTGACAGATACACCCATCCATCTCGAGCGCAGGCGACTGCTTTGCAATCTCGGCTCTGAAGCGAGGAGCTCTTCACCCATCGCCCGTGAGTGAAGGTGTCCCGCCTTTCGGGCCAGGGAGGGCTAGGGCCGAGGGGTTGAGGTGCTTTAAACATGAGGATCCTAACTATGGCTTAGAGTGCATTTCCTGACAGAATGGAAAGAAACATGCTATATGGTTTAGGGTCTAGGGGTTGGGGTTCAGGGTTTTCGGTTTCAGGTTCAGGCGTTCAGGGTTTAGGGTTAATTAACCCTAAACCCTAAACCCTAAACCCTAAACCCTAGGCCCGCTATTCTGGGCGGGGGGGTGGGGGGCTGAACACCATGTTTGGAGAGCGTCCCGCCCCAGCTCACACCGTCGTGGAGGTAGCCTGGGCCGGCCCTTGAAACCCTTTGAAAAACATTCCCGCGTGGGGTTTGGGTTTCGGGTTTGGGGTTTAGGGCTTACGCCTCAGGTTTTAAGGTTTGAAAGGGGCAACAAACGTCCCTAAGGCCGACCCAGGAGCTGAATGAGGCTGGAGTTTCCGGCGCCGCTTCGGGGCGTAGGTGTGGGAGCGGCAGGATCCGACGTTTGCAGCTCCACGACCAGCTTTCGGATCTTGCCCGCTTGTCGGGCTCGGGCGAACTGCTTCCCCAGTGGGGACAGCTCCAGAACTTGGACGTGGTAGTCGCCTGGGTCTTGGGCTCGGAAGGCGATTCTCAATCGCCCGAGCTGCAGATCCGTCGCGTTGTCTGCCAGGGCAGGGGCCGCGAAGAGGATGTGGCCGCTGGTGGATCGAAACCATGCAAAGATGTTCGCCTCAAGTGGGCTCCCGCAGGGCCACGGCGGCTGAGGCACCGTGTAGCGCACAAGAAAAGAAACCTGAGGGGGGTACTAGAATCCCAAAATAACAACTGTTTGTCGAAGGGGGAACATCCCGACCTATATATACATGAGAAATCCCAATGTTTCTTCTGGCTCACTTGAGGGTAGGCACGATGCTGGCTTTGATACGAATTCCGCAACAACCTCAACTCGTCAATTAACCACACACAATGTGTTGAGACTTAGGATTTGGAAAACCTGCACCTTAAACGGCCCTAAGCACCAAACTGGCCCAAATTTCCCTAAACCCCTAACCCTAAACCCTAAACCCTAAACCCTCTTCACCCTTCACGCCTCCTGCCCTGCTGCAACGTGCCAGTCGCCCTCGCCTGCCGGCCAGCCCACGGCGAGCGTCCATGCAGGGTGCCCCAGATGCAGCGCTACCTGGCTTTGGGCTGAGGGTCAAGGGCTTAGGGTCAAGGGCTTAGGGTTCAGGGTTTAGGGCTTAGGGCTTAGGGCTTAGGGCTTAAGGGCTGAAGGGCTGAAGGGCTGAAGGTCTCGGGTTTAGGGCAGTTTAGGGCTGGTTTCCTAAACCCATAAACCCCCTGAAGCCCCAAAAGATAGCCTATAACGCCTCAAGCCCGAAAATGTAAAGCCCTTCAATCCCTTCAACACTTAAGCTCTCAGCTTTCGAGGCTTTCGTTGTGAAGGCTTGGGGGGCCTTCACAACAAAAGCCTCAAGATCAAACAAAAAACCAAGTTGTTCATGGTTCACTTGGAACCTATGTTTCGCTGGAAAATGGGACACCCTGAGTCCTGGGGAATCCTAGAGGTAGGGTCTAGGGTTTGGGGTTTAGGGTTACCCCCCATACTGGCCACCCAGTGGATGAAAGGCATTGACTTGAGTTTAGGCCTCAACCCTAAAGGGAATAGGGTACCCATGGCTGCTTTTCGCATTTCGCGAAGCTTTCATGTCACAACAAACCCTCAACCCTAAACCCCTGAAACCCGAAACCCTCGAACCTAAACCCTAAACCCTCAACTCTAAACCCTAAACCCTATAAACCCTCAACCCTCAACCCCCTAAACCCTCCCAAACTCAACCCTAAACCCCCCCAAACAACAGCCCCTCGCGTGCGAGCCTTCGGCTCGTGGACATCTCCTTCGGGGCGGCAGCGCTCCGCTGGAAGCTCGGCCTGTCCGCGAGGGGGAATATTGGGGTTTAAGGGTGTAGGGTTTAGGGTTTAGGGTTTAGGGTTTAGGGTTTAGGGTTTAGGGTTTAGGGTTTAGGGTTTAGGGTTTAGGGTGTAGGGTGTAGGGTTTAGGGGTGTAAGGGTTCAAGGTTTACGGGTCTGGGGCTTAAGGAGGAGGAGCCTTGAAGTTTGTTGGAGTGCCTTGCAAAGTATCAGCAGTGTTGTTCCGGCCGCACGCAGCGAAGCTTGTACAGCGGATCCATACGGATCTCGGGTGCCGACAGTAGAATATAGAGTGCTTCTAGAAACCTGCTATGCGGTGCCCACGGCTCCCCTGGCTAGTCAGCTCGAGTACCCTGATCCACTACAGGTTTTTGCCATGTCAAGGCGATTCCACAGACAGAACCGCTCATATTGCCAATTAGCATCTCTTCTTTTAGTCTCCAAGTGGATGCTTCGAGACCGTCCGAGTGACTGCTTGCATCAACATGAACCCTAAACCCTACCCTAAACCCTAAACCCTAAACCCTAAACCCTAAACCCTAAACCCTAAACCCTAAATCCTAAACCCTAAACCCTAAACCCTAAACCCTACCAGGATTTGGGGGCTAAGGGAGTTTAGGGCTTCTAGGGGCGATGGATCGAGTTTGTCAGGGCCCAGGTTCCGCAAGGTTGTACCCCTGAAGGAATCGGGCTCCCTTACTACATTCCGAACGTGGCCACTATGGTTCCAGTAAAGGAACCCTACACCCAAGTAGGATGAAAATGTTCGGGGTCCAGGGCAGTCCGCTCAACCCTCAACCCTAAACCCTAAACCCTAAACCCTAGACCCTACACCCTAAACCCTCAACCCTCAACCCTGAACCCTAAACCCTAAACCCTAAACCCTAAACCCTAAACCCTGAACCCTGAACCCTAAACCCTGCCTCCGAGGGTGCCGCTGGTGCTGCCGGGGGGACCGCCTCCCGAAAGGCCGGAAAGAGCACGGGTGAAGGACCCTCGACGGCAACCCACACCTGGGCTGTCTCTGGGCATTGGTTGAGGGTATAGGGTTTAGGGTTTAGGGTTTAGGGTTTAGGGTTTAGGGTTTAGGGTTTAGGGTTTAGCGTTTAGGGTTTAGGGTGTAGGGTTTAGGGTTTAGGGTTTAGAGTTTAGGGTTAAACCCGAAACTGCGCTTAGGACGCACGGGTGCCGCCCACCCTCGATCGCGAAGATGTGAGGAACGGTGTACAAGAGGTTAATGAACCAGCCCTGGAAACAGATTGAGGACCACAGGATAAGGGCTTTTCCAAGAGGTAGATGGTGTGGGTGACAGGGAGAGAGCGGTTAACCTGGCATGCGTCTTTTAACTGGGGCTGGTACGTCTGTCTGTCTTGGTCTTATAGTACTGGGTGAGAGAGGTGAACACGGCAAGACTGACAGGTGGGATGGATTCCAGGGTCTCAAGGTGTGACAGGGAGAGAAGCATGAACTGGACCACACTGAAAGACTCATGATGGTACGGTATGGTACGGTTTCTAGGGGCGGTTCCTTGTGCATGATTCCTGGTACTAGATGGGAAAGGTCAGCGAGAAAGGGGTGATTCAGAGAGCGGTTAACCTTTACTTTTCCTTTCGTACACCACCAATCTCATGACACCTTAATTAACTCCTTGTCTGTCAGGTTCACCACTCAGTACTAATTGGTAAGGCTTTCCAGGTCAACGAGGAAGTCATGCGTCTTTTGCCCCTTTCACGCCCTTACACATAATAATAATAAAGACGCAAGGAAACGCGCGGGCTTTTACTATGATTATTGGGGCGTGAGGAAAGGGGAAAAAGGTGCATGAACGAAGTGAATGTGTGAACGTATGGGCGAATATGATATACTAAAAGCCCGTATAAAAACCATAGTTTATTATGACGGGCCTTTGGTATAATTCGCCCATGTGTTCACTGCCCCTTTAAAAGCCCAACAAAAGTAGTATTAAATTAGGGCGTGCTTCGTATTCACTTCATTACCCCTAATTTTAATACTAATTTTGGGCTTTTAATGGGACAGCCAGGATGGTACGGTCATAAGGTACTAAAACTCCCTGGAAACATTAGGGTCAAAAGGGGTCTCTTGGCCGTTCTTGGTGTCCGTACGCATGAAACGCAACCATTAACAATATTATAGCGTGCGTCCCTTACCTATAATATTATAATGGGTGTTCTTCATGGACGGACTCTTGGGATAGGAAACCAGCCCCGGATACTACGTCTTGGGGGTGTTTCAATGAGAGATTCATGGTTGACCGCGTGAATAGAACCACCATTGACCTCTTGTTCACGGAAACCACGCTCATTCTATACTAAATTCGCTTGGTTTCCTATAGAATTAGTGTTACCTTCACCAGCTATTATCCTATTATTAGGGCAAAGGTAAGCACTAACCTCGTCTTAAAGTACTGGATGGTGCATTAGCCTCACGGTCCAGTTCATTCACGGGGGCAGCAACAAGCCTATGGAAAGAACTAAAAGGCTTAGAAACTAGACCACTCATGAAGGTTGTATCTTGGAGTGTTGGTTTCGTTCATATGTTCATTTCGCTCACTCACGAACCGTGCTTACATTACGTTCGTTTCGTTCACTAATTCACATATTCCCTTCACTCGCGGGCATATTAATATTTACATTGAGCCCGCGGTAATATTATTATACGTGAAGAGAGTAAGTGAAATAGAATTATAAGGGAGAGAACGCAGTGAAAGAACGCATGAATTCATTTCACGCACGAACGAAACACACTAATTTCATGCGTCACGCTCACTTGTTTCACGCGTGCGCTCTTTATAAACTACATAATTTATGGTTTTTCTTTCCCTAATTCGTTCATTCACTGTGTTCATTGCATTCACTCCGTTCATTAGTGTGTTTATTTAGTATTCTATCCCGGGCTAATAAAATAATAGTACCGCCCGGGGGTATAATTTAGTACGTTTATAGCGGCCACAATAATAAATAATAAATTGGCCGCAAATAATATGTAAAGAGAAGAAAACTACTGAATAAAGTTGATGAAGAAATTAAATTAGAAAAAAGATAAAAAGAAGAGTGAAAAATATTAATCCCGTAATTGCCCTAATAAAACTACTATATTATAAGGGCCCTATTAATATCTTCTTTGGGCCCATTATTCTCTTCTCCTTTTAGTAATTTAGTATTCTCTCTTCATATTATAAGGAAAGACAACTATAATATTGGGATATTAGATTATTAATATGAAGAGAGAAGAATACTAATAAATGCTGTGGAAATAGAGAAATTACTAAGTGAATACAATAAACTAAATAAACGAAGTGTGCGCTCTTTTAGTTTCATTTTTTATTAGCTTCTTCTCTTTCTATTATTAAAACGCATGCATCACGTGAATAGAATTATAAAGAAGCAAATTGAATAATAAAGAACGTAGTGAGGCTTACGAAGAGAAAAGGAGAAGATAAGTCCAGTTCATACGGTAAATCCACCATTATATCTTCTTTCCAAATATTTTAATTGCAATTTTCTACATCTTGGAAATGCAATATAATTTCTGGTATTTTATTATCGTTTTTCTCTCTTCATCAAATCCTTCATTAAAATAGTAAAAAGAAGAGAGAAAAGTGTGTACAAGTGAACACAACATATTTTCATGCGTGTTCTCGTTTAGAATTTTATTAACGAAGTGCGCGATAGAAAGAGAGAAAAGAGCGCACGAATGCAGGAAATTTAGTAATTTAGAGACCTCGACGAATCCAGCGCCGAAAGCGGACCCCTCAAGCCCTTTCCGCCCACGAAGCCCCCCTCAAGTCCACCAAAACACACAGAGAGAGCCTCTGAAAGCCGGTGAGCCCCCTTTTGAGGCCCAAACCCAAAACCCGCCCACAAAGCCCATGGCAAACCCGAATACCCCCAAAAACCCTGCACCTCAAGCCTCGAAGCTCCAACCGTAAACCCTGCGCACTAAACCCTAAATCCTAAATCCTAAACCTAAACCCTAAACCCTAAACCCTAAACCCTAAACCCTAAACCCTAAACCCTAAACCCTGCCCCAAAACCCTAAAACCTAGACCGCCTAGACCCTAATCCCTAAAACCCAGACAATCTCTGAATCGCAAGCATCGCAACGGCTGCCAGGAAGGCGCAGAGCCAAGGCAAAGCGCAGCGCGTGGCGTCCATGGGGTTTAGGGTTTAGGGTTTGAGGTTTAGGGTTTGGGGTTTGGGGTTTAGGGTTAAGGGCTTAGGGTTTAGGGTTTGAGGCTTGCAGGGCTTTTAGGGTTTGTAGGGCTTAGGAGAGGGTTTAGGAGAGGCCTTACAAGGGCTTGCAGGTTTTACAGGCTTGCAAGGCTTTTTGGGCTTAGAGGGTGTTTATGTGTAGGGCTTGCATGGTTTTAGGCTTGGGGCCTTTGTGCTTTTGGGGGTCCCTCTGTGGGCTTGGGCCCTCGATGGAGTTTCGGTGTTAGGGTTTAGTGCTTCGGGTTTACCCTAAACCCTCAACCCTAAACCACCCTTTCATGTATAATAGAAAAACTCTTGACTTTGCGGGCAAGACCATCAAATCAGCAGGGCAAGGTCATAGAATTAGCAGGCAAAATCATAAGACTAGTGGGCAAGGTCATAGAATTAGCAGGCAAGGTCATCAAATCAGCGGGCAAGGTCATAAACTTAGCAGGCAAAACCGTAAAAACAGCGGGGAAGTTCATAAAATCAGTGGGCAAGGTCCCCCCCCTTTACCCCCCCACGCCCCCTACCGAGGGGTTTAGGGCACCCTACATAGCCGGAGGTCCGCGGAGGCTGTGAACCCGAAACGCCCTCGCGCCTCATGGTCCGCCGACTGCTCTAAGAGCTGTTGTGCCAAGGTGTCCTCACAAATTTATTGTGAAGGAACCGAAGGGACACGGCCGGACGAAGATGCGCCTCGGGATCCTTAAGGGGATGCCTCATGATGTGCATGACAAGCCATGCCCTATGGCAACCTTCGGCAATCCTCCTGCGGTTCATAGGCACCACTAACATGCACAAGCCTTCACGCTTCTTGCGCCACATGCTGGATCGAAGCCTTCTTTGAAAACTTGGTCCTGGCATCTCTGATTCACACGGGCGTGCGGCCCGTCGCTGAGTGCCTCGATGCACAGGTGGCATCGAATTGAGCCAGAGAGCTTCAAAGCTCGATGCGCGGAGGATGGCGCATCTGTAGACCCCATCCTCCACCTCCATCAAAACGGAAAGCATGCCCTCTTCGGCATATTTTCAAAGGAGCAAGAGCCCACTCGGGGGGGGGCTGAAAACGAAGGCAGCTGAAGCCTTGTAACGAACTGGTCGCATGGATTGGGCGCAACCAAATCTCACATCGGCCCAAGCTGAATTCGATACCCTTGCACACAGGGGCAGCCGCACACCTGGCCTTGCAGTCTTCCAAAAACTTCGTCTTCGTGACTGTGTAGTACTCTGGCTGGTTGTCGGTGACACGATCCCCGCGGCAGGCACGGCCATCACCCCCGTCCACCGGCTGGAGATACATGGTGGGCCAGCCAAAGCGAAAGCACGCGAAGCCTGTCAGGTCCTTTGCCACAAAGATGCCTTCAGGTCCTTGGCACATTCGACTTCCTTCTAGGTGCTCTCGCATGCACGTGGTCACGTGACATCGAAAGGTGTGAGGGGGGAGAGGCAGACCCAAGGATCACAATCTCACCGAATCCCATTACATTGAACAAGAGAACAACCGGATCTCTTATGACTCATGATTTCCCACTTCCCCCTCACCCAGGCACGCACCCAGATTTCGCAGCGGCCCTCGCTGTACTCCACCCCCTTGCACCTGGGGAACGCGGCCAGGCACTTCGCCTGACAGCTTTCCAAGCTCTGCACCTTCAGCACCTCGTAGTTCTGGGGCGCGTTGTCGTTCGCCGTGTTCCCGCGGCAAGCGCCACCCACCGTCTCCCAAGCACGACCCGCAAAGGGGTCCGTGGTGGTGGTCACCGTGGTGATGGTCACGGTGGTGAAGGTCAAGGTGGTGAACGTGGTGGTGGGGGGCACACAGCTCGCATCCGTGGCGCGCTTGCGCAGAGGGATGTATTCCTTGGGCCACCAGGTGGTCGTCAGGGTCACCTCAGCAAGTGCTAGGAAGGGGATCGCGACAGGTGGCTGCGAGCTATGATATGCTACGATTGTGATGATGGTCGTATGTCAAGGTTCCAAGTTCACATTCTTGGCCCAAGGGACGGTGCTCTCACAGATTCGGCAGAAGGCACTGGGTGGTTGCCGGCCATGAATCAAAGTAGCCCGCGCAGCCCCAACCCTCATGGGCGTAGGTGTAGACTGCGGCACCCTCCATCCCACAAGCCTGCTGAAAGCCATCCTCCCACCTCCCCAGGCTGCCCAGCAGGCTTGATTGAAGGGCACCGAGAGCGAACCTGTGGGGCAAGTGAGGTTGAAGCCCGAACACTCGTCGTCATCTTGCACGCGCCCGTCACAATACTCGTGAGATGCTGGTAGCTCGAAGTAGCCCTCCTGGCCCTGGTGGCTCGGAAGCCACGCCTCAGCCCCCTCAAGCCTCATGGGCTTGGGCAAAATCACAGGAGGCTCATCCGCCACACACTCGCAGCATTGGCCCCGCACGTTGCCTCCCACGCCCTCATTGCCCAAACAGCCTGTCCAGACTTCGGCTTTGAAATGGCTGCCGAAGTGGCCGCAAACCCGCCTGTCCCCGCCCCAACTGATTTGGTCAACTGGCACGGAGCAACAGAGAAGCCTGCATTGCAGGGTGCCGTGGAGGCACATCAAGAGAGCAGCACCTTCGCCCCATCGATTTCCTTCGAAGGAATCCAAGACCAAGGGCGCGGTGCTGGTAGCCGCTAGCCAGGGCCACCCAAGCGAGGCTGAGAGTGAACATGGCACAAGATCCACAGGCTGCTAGGCTGCCCCCCTTCCTTGGACATCATCAACCCATGGCACGTTGTTTCCAACCACGTGACAAACTCCGCCGCTACTCTCTTATCATGTGCCTCCACGGCACCCTTGTACTTTAAACCCTAAACCCCAAACCCCAAACCCCAAACCCCAAACCCCAAACCCTAAACCCTAAACCCTAAACCCTAAATCAACTCTAAACATCGCAAAAGGACGATATGAAGAACCCCCAAACCCCAAACCCGAAAGCCTATAAGCCCTAAACCCGAAACCCGAAACCCAATTCCCGACAATTCCTTACTACGTAAAACCAGAAAGCTACTCGCGCCTGCAAACAGGAGAAAGTGGACCCCGCAATGGGGTTAGTTAGGGCGTCGGACATGCGGGACTCGCGACTGCAGCAGGTTCCTTCAGTGAAGTCATTTCGTCTGCCATCACGACATGTTTGCTACTGGCGCCTAGTGCACTTTAGGGCTTAGAGTTTAGGATTCAGGGTTTAGGGTTTAGGGTTCAGGGTTTAGGGTTTAGGGTTTAGGGTTTCGGGTTTAGGGTTCAGGGCTTAAGGTTTAGGGTTTAAGGTCCTGCTTTACATTCTCAGGGGCCTGCCTCAAACTCGGACACGTAAGCAGATCCAGAAAAACATCCCAAATGTTGCTTGGATGTTGCTCCCTCGTTTCGGGGAAGGTGTGGCAAAGCACGTCAGGCAGGTATGTGCCTGTGACTGTACACCTTGAGCCACCAAACGAGCTGCCATCAACCTCCGCCGTGTTTTTCAGAACGCACTCGATGCAAAGTGCAATAGGTTTTGGTGTTACAGGCCAAAAAGCTGGGACTCTAAACCCGAAACTGCACACAGACACACGCACACACGCACACGCACACGCACGCACACACACACACACACACACACACACACACACACACACACACACACACGCACACACACACACACACACACACTGACGCAAGAATGCATTCGAAAGTTGCAAATGCACTCAGGTCGGATGCACATGCACTCACTCATGACGGGTGCACATGTACTCACTCATGACAGATGCACATGATGCAAAGCCGATTTTTTAACCCTATGGAACACGACGACAAATGACGCAACCGGTCTGAAAATGGAAAACCTGGTTTAGTCAAAAACGAAAAGGGCCCGACTTTTGTTGTTATAGCATGCCAGCTACATTCTCAGATGTCCAGGCACTGCCATGGCAGGTACGTTTACACGGGTTGGGGAGGGGGGTCTTCGTTGACCGGGACCCCCTCCCCACCCTCCTGGTCCCCTGCACTTACTTGAACTTGGCTGTGAAGCCTTTCCAGGATGAAAGAACCTGTTTCCCCACACACACAGCCCCCGAAGGGGCTCAACGACGGAAAAAGATTGCTGAACGTAGCCAAGACGCGAAAACACTTGCAAAACCATAAACAACATTCTCAGATGTCCAGGCACTGCCCATGGCAGGTACGTTTACACGGGTTGGGGAGGGGGTCTTCGTTGACCGGGAGTCCGGCGTCCCTCCTTCCCCTTGGCACGCCTGACCGCATCCAGGAAATGCAAGGGCGGTTAAACTGCTGGTGGTTCTGTTTCCCGACTTGTAAAGGTGTTGATGTTGAGATGCGCCCGCGCAGCCTCAGGTGCGTTCAGGTCGCCAGTTCAATCCTTCATGAACGGGGATACGCTTCTCCGGTGAAGGCGACAGCGGCAGCGGGAGACATTGAGCGGCTGTCCCTTGTCAGATACGGTTTTCGAGGTCTCGTCTGGTGTGGATGAGCCCGTGTCACGTGCCGGATTGAAGGTTCACAAAGTACAAGTCGTTCTTGCCAGAGACGCGCATTTGAGGGTGGTCCCTTGCACCGACCATATTGGGCATGGGACAAATGGGAAGATGCCCACACAGCCCGTTGGGCCTGCTTGGATTCCAGGCTGGCAAGCACCCTTACAAGGATGCCCTAAATCTGGTTGGTTCCGGCTCTACTCCAAGCCCAAAGCAAGCTTCCTGACCGACGCTGACTTAGCTCTTTTGGCTCAAGACCGCGACTGCTCGAGTGGTTCAGCCACCAGGAACGTTGAAAGGTCAAAGCAACCTGAGAAACCCTATGTACTTACAGTCAGGGAACCAAGGAAAACAACCACAACCCTCACACAAGTCAGGCAGCCAACACTCTTATCTCACCAGGGAAAGACGTGCTTCAGAAGCTCGGGGCCTTGAGCCTTGAGCTGAGGCTTCTTGAGCCAGGCTCTACACTTGAGCCAAAGAGCGGACGCGGCTTGAAACACTCGCAGGCTTCCAAGAAAGCAAGACTTTCTACACACACTCTAGCCTTACCAAAGTCTTAGCAGACCTGCTCTATCAGCTGTGCACAGTTGCCTCCACTTGCCTACGGGCAAAAGGCACTTCAACTCGAAGAGAAAACAATTGTCCTCCATACTTTGGCATCGAAAACGAACGGACAACGTTCGAATGACAAACAAACGACAATTCAAGCACTGTGTCATGAACCACCAACAAGTTAAGGTGCTGTTCCGCGCCATCGAAGCATGCTCAAGCAATGCCAGGCAACCCCAGACTGCAGAACTGGTGGCACACCCTCGAAAATCGGGCCCGAAACCCAACTCCCCCTCATGACGCCACGGTCGGAGGTCTTAAGACGTCGTTTTTGCGAAGAAACAGCGTGTGCTGGCCCATCCCCAGCAGCCTCAACGCTGCGGCCATTCCAAGACCCAAGTCAAACAATCAACGCCACCATGCACTAAGCTGTTGACTTGGATTTTTTGCCTAACGGCAAAATCGGGGTGCGAAGCACTCTCCCGCTTTGTTTACTGGGAAACCTTTCACTCGGAAGCTGGAACCAATCTGAAGTTTCAACCTAAACCCCAAACTCTGAAACTCCAACACTACCAGTTCCATTTTTACAACGACGATTTCGACTGCGACTACGACCACTACTACGACTACCACTAACTACAAACTACTACTGCTGCTGCGACGAACACTGCTGCTGCTGCTGCTGCTACTACTACTACTGCTACTGCTACTGCTACTGCTACTGCTACTACTACTACTACTACTACCACCACCACCACCACCACCACCACCACCACCACTACTACTACTACTCCTCCTACCACTCCCTTCTACAACTAAAGGGTTGCTTGGCCACTGCGACACCATTACCGACCACTCCTACGATGACAACACGACGGCTACAACACCACTACAGTACTACTGCCAATGCTGACGCGATGACAACACCACCAACAACAACCACAACAACAACCAGGCAACAACAACAACAACCACCAGACACCCACAACAACTACAACACAACAACCAACCCGCCAAACTTCTTTTTCAGCACCAGCGCTTTTCTGCAACTTCACTGCTAACAACAAAAACTTTCTGCAAGCGTAAAATTGTTATTTGCCAAGGTGTTTAAAAAAATTCAAAGGTTTTGGTGTCTAGTTGATCCGAGTGATGACAAATTGAAAAGTTAGCAAGGATTTTGAAATTTTTGCAAAATACATTTTAGTTTTTTGAACAAAATCATGAAAAACACAAATACTGTAAAACAAGAATAGACTGAATTGAATTTACAATTCTGGGCAACCATGTGACACATGAAAATTGCACGCGCAATTTCCGTGATTTTAAGCATCTTTCACAGTATTGATCCTTGTTCCATAAAACACTGGGAAGAGCAGCCAGAAAGCCGTAAATTACGTTTGTTTGTTTTGGTGCAGCAGCTCTTATGTGGGCAACTTGGCTTTTTTTGCTGCCAACTTGAAACAAGCGTTCTTAAAGCCTCTGACAATACCATTTGGACAGAAATTAACAACTGTCCAGTTCTGTGGCCTGGCCAAGAGGGGCGGCAATTGACTAAACGCTGCATTATTGCAAAGAGTTCAGACCCTGCACGTGGGAGAAGCAGGCTTGCTGCTGGGTGTAGGTTATTCGAAAGCCAACCTTTGCTGCTCTTGCTCTTACCAGCAGACAAAAACCAACGCAATGCGCAAAAGCACCTTGGCATTCTTGCTCTTCTAATTTTGCGTTCTTGCGCGTAACGTTGCCTGGCTTTGGCACTGCTTGCTGCAGGATTCTCACAGAATTCCTGGCATACTTTGCATTTTGCAACCTCTCTACAACGTACAAGCTTGATGCTACAAGAATCCGCCTTGAACTACAACGACAAGTTTGAATTATGAGTGCATGGGAAGTTTCTTGGCTTTTTCGACCTTTCTTCTTGGTTCTTGTCTGCTTTGCTGGTTGCTGGGCAGTGTGTTGTTGGCTTTGCTTCTTACGGCGATCTGTTTTACACCCAGTTGCAAGACCCACATGCTGCAAAGAGGCGTCCGCTCAAAAAAGAGAGCTGTTGTAACTTTGCAAAGTTTATAAATTGGCTGAAATAGTTTTTTTGTTGGATTTTCAAGGGACCAAAAACCCAAAAAGGTTTAAAATAGAAAAGACGTGACCAAAAACACCCCAGAAGAGGAGACCTAAAGCCAGCCACAAGACCGGAATTTGCGCTTTTTTTTTTTTGGACTGGCGCCTCTTTACTACATCAGTAGCACAGTACAGGGGAGGCCCACACACGCGAAGCCAGAATTGCTTAGATTTTTCGACCCCAGATTTGGAGTCGCGTAAACTGGCAAACATGTGTACAGCACAGGAACGACTTGGTCTCCTAGGACTTGCTGAAAAGCAAGCCCCAACAAAACAATCTCGAAACCAAACAAGTTGGCCTGATGTGGCCTCAAACCCACACGGTCTTGCTTTGTTGCGACACGTTTGTGGCCTGTTGTGGCCTGACGTGGCCTGAAAACCACACGTTTGTGGCCTGTTGTGGCCTGACGTGGCCTCAAAAACACACGTTTGTGGCCTGTTGTGGCCTGATGTGGCCTCACGGCGTATTTTTCCCCGGAAAAATGCATTTGTGGCCATGGGGACTCGGGACCCTATAATACTATTGAAAGGGTCCCCACGCGCAGCAGACGTAGGGTAATGAGGCCAGATCCGAAGACCGACCAGAATTTTAATCCAGGTTTTTTCCCAAGTCGCTTATCTTCTAAACTGAACATTGTTACAAGTGTTCAAACACGACCTATGCGCTGTTCAAAACGCGGCGCCGAAGAAAAGTTGGCAGACATAGAAATCACGTGGGGCCCCATGGCTTCACCACTCCTCCGCTGCCCGTCACTGCATCACTTTCTCTCACTCCGTCGTCCTCGCTTCCTCACTCTCTCTCACTCTCACTCTCACTTTCACTCTCACTTTCACTCTCACTCTCACTTTCACTCTCACTTTCACTCTCACTCTCACTTTCATTCTCACTCTCACTCTCACTCTCGCTCTCGCTCTCACTCTCATCCTCACACACTCACAGACACTCTGTCACTCTCTCACACGCAAGCACTTGCTGCTCCAAAACATACGTCTGTTTGGCTCTGGCAAAGACCAGGGTCGATGGTGCTAAATTCAAAATGCTGTACAGACAGGTCTGACCCATCAACGGCGCGTTAACTGCCGCAAAAACTGAGATTGGAGACAGCGCCAAAATATGTCCAAGCATGCGCGAATGCACTTGTGGCATCCGTTCACCAGCCCCACAACCTGACCATTGTTAGAACTCCAATGAGGGTGCTCGGCAACAGCTGATTCGCTAGGAGCACAAGCCGTTCCTGTACAGTAGGTATCCTCGCTGTTCAAAGCCCAAGCCTGCCAAAAGCTTTCATTCTGCAATGTCCAGCAGACGACTCTGCGCAACAGCAGAAAACGTTGAGCCACGTTGGTCAACTTCCCGAGCTTGAAGGGCGCCTCCTATCCACAGCCGCAATGGTCGCAAAGCTTGCCGTCCATGCCACGGTTTGCTGCAGTCGGCACGTCGCACATCCTCAGCTGTTCTTCGAAATACTTGAGGCTCTTCGTGAGCTCACTCCAGCTGTTGGCGTTGCCGTGCAGCGCCACATACTGTCTCGCCGGATGTGAAACGGCCTGCAGCAAGATGGAGCAACGATCTGCTTCTGAAAGCTTCAACTCGGGGAAGTTGCTCAACTTGATCTCCGCCTTGGCGATTTCGTCCTTCAAGTGTCTGATGATGTCCATGGGCTTTTTAAGCCCCGAACATTGTGCATGCAACTTCATGCAACCGTCTCTCACGTAGACGGCTTCCATTCGAGACACAATGGAGTAGTTGAGGTTAGCCGGTAGCAGACATGCTCTGCCTTTTGCTACAGCTTCGAAGCAACTCCAAACCACGCTCCCACTTCGCCAAGCTCTGGGAAAGCAGGTAAAACAACTTCGCTGACCGAGCTCCAGTGTCAGGAGGCAAACGGTCCTGTCGGATCTCGTCCTTGACACTAATGCAGAGTGGAAGCTCGTTCACGCAGGCCTCGTCTTGCAGGGCATGAACTCATCGTCTCTCGGAAGCCGTGCCAAGCCTCAATCTCTCGCATTCGGTCTCTACCCATCTCCTGGTGGGCTATGACAGGCAGCTGTGGAAGGTACTTGCACGGTTGGAAACGTATCACCAGATGAACTTCCAGTATCCTTGGGACTTGAAGAAAGGAACTCCCTGTTGACAAAGTCGCAGCGAGGAACGGGCCACTCGGTGCCGATGCCTTTGCAGCTTCCGTCTTGGCTTTAGCCTCAGCAGCTGCAAGTTCGGCATCATTCCTCCTCTTCTCTTCGCTGTCCATGCAACGAAGCATGGTGTTGGTTCTGTTCCAACTGCTTCCGGTACTGGTCAACACCAAACTTTCTCCAACAGAACCACCACCTGGAGCGGTGGCTGGCTGTGAACTCGTCGCTGGCGTTGAGGGGGACCTCTGTCCTTTGGGGCCACCGGCGCCCTTTTCACTCTTCGACTCTCCTTTGCCGCCCTTGCCGCCTTTCTCACCAGCCTCACGCTGTCGTGACCAGCAAACCTTTGCCACATGACCATGCTTAAAAACACCGACAAAGACCTGCAGCTCAACTGGCGGACCAGCAGAATTGCCAGGACGAAGCCCAAGTTCCGGGGAAGCCGGGCGACCCCGCTTTCAGGGCCGCAAAACACAAGCAATTCTGGCTTGGCGAGGACGGGCCTCCACAGTTGCAGTTCTGCCTCACTGCAGCATTACAAAGACGAGTGTGCAGCTGCTTCGGACAAGCCCCCATGCGCTCAGCGCGACGCTGCCCAAAGTGACTAGAACAAGGGCAGGTGCGCAGCCAACGAGATCCGGTTGCTTGAGCCCACAGGCAAATTCGGTGCCAAAAAATGGGGCCGTCTCGCTGTCCCGAAAATGGTGCCGCGAAATGGACCCAGCCCCCGCAGCACAATTTGGAACTGAATTGGAGGCGTGAAGCTGAAAGCAGTTCCTGTCCCTGACAACACTTCCGAGAAGGAAGCCTTGCTGTTTGGAACCGGTGAGACTCCGGCAGGACAGCAACCGAACCTCTTTGCTGCCTTTGGAGCTCAAGGAGTTCCGACACTCCGAAGAGAGCTCCTCGCTCTCCAACGCCGAAAGGAAAGCCCACCTCCAAGGGAGACAAGGGTGCCAAAGGAAAGAAGGGCGAAGGCAAGGGCAAAGAAAAGAAGCAGAAGAAGAAGAACCGCGCTCGGGCTATGGGAGAACCCTCGAAGCGGAAGCAGAGCCAACACAGAGTGTGTGGCGATGCGCTTTGCCCAGCGAAGTCCTGAACTGAGCCTTTCTGAGTCTTCTAAGCGTAGGGTAGGTTTTTCACTCGACAAGCAACGATTGGGACCTGTTGGCAATTCGTTGACTGTAGGGGATGTAGAGCGCATCTGCGCCAGCTTCCAGCTAGAACCGAGGACCAGGACGTCTGGTTAGTGGATTCTGGAGCCACGTGTCATGTGTTTCCTTGGAACACCTCAGCGGATTCAGGGTGGTGAAGACTTATGAGAGAGAGTTTACTCTGTACAACGCTTCAGGGGGGAAGATCCCCGTGTCAGGCGTCGTCGACTTAGAGGTCGTCTTCGGTGATTGTAGCCTTCTTTTGACGGAGGTTCTCGTTGCGGAAGTTACGTTTAACGCCATTAGTCCCTGGGCGGCGGTGGAGAAAGGGTGGAGAACGTATCTCTACAAAACCGGGTCTAGGTTGTACAAAGGCAAACGCAACGTGAAACTCGTATCCGCTAATCGGGCTTGGTGGGCTTTGAGCGGGGGTCGCCGCCAGAAAGCGGAGAAAGGTCGTTCACCACGCAAGCCTTCGGGCTCGGACATGGAAATAGACGCGATTACCTGCCTGCAGGACTCTGTTGTTAAGCTCCAGCCAGGACCGAGCATCCTCAAGAAAGCGACGACAGAAGGAAAGAAGGCGGAAGTCGAGAAGCCACAAGGAAGAGAGAGCGGGGATTGCCGGCATGCTTTGCTGGAGACTCCGTTTGCTTTCTTGTTGCGAGGGCTTAGAGCCGAAGTATCCCCGAAAGTGGTCCCTGAAGTTCCTCAAGAATGCACCGAAAACACTCCGCCTCAACTCATCAGGAAGCCTGTTAAAAGGCCCATGGCATGTTTTGCGGCATGTTTATTGGCATGTTTTGTGGCATGTTTATTGGCATGTGGTGCAGCATGTTTTTCGGCATGGTGTTTTGTGCATGAGGGTTTTATTTTAGAGAACGGCGTCTATACGCCATGCATTTTGGAAAGCGCTTTTTCGGCGCACGCCTGTTTTGGACGGTTTGATCTCGAGACCGTGCCTGTTCCTGTAAGTGTTTTGAATGGGTGCGCATCTTGCAATGGGGCCTCTCGGGGGCAATCCAGCGCTCCAAGGCGCTTTGCGGAAAGCCCGACGCCAGCACGCTCTCCAACGGAAGAATTTTACCAAGAAGAGATGCGCGAGGCCGAGAATCAGGCCGAAGAGGTGGAGCGGATGGCAGCTGCAGTGGAGGAACAAAGAAGGGCTTTAAATGCCCCATTGGTTGCTCATGTTGCCACCGACGACGAGCCTCGGAGCGAGGAGCCACCGGTAGTCCTCGATGCTCTTCAAGTTGCTCGTATGGTTCCAGACAACGAGGAAGAGGGCTTCGAGGAGGAAAGCGAATCGGATGCTTCTCCGTTGACGCTGGAGGAACAGAGGGCTTTGATGGACGAGGCCATCACAAGGGCACGACGGATGTTGTGCGATGTCTCTGTCTCTGTGGAGGCGGGGACGGAACCTCCTCCAAGTTTCAAGCCTCTGGAAACCGAGTCCTGGGGTACTTGGACCGCCGGGCCGACTCGAAAAGAGTTATTCCTGAAGTGGGAGGCCGCTATCTATGCAGATGCTGGGCAGTACGATGTGTGGGAAAGTCACCACAGGATGGGCGAACCCATCCCTTTATGTCGGGACTGCTTAGGGCACCCGATCAATATGCTCAGCAAGGTGGCCCACGACCCCGACTACCTTCCCAAGTACTGCACCGGTGGGGTTTTGCCTGCAATGGACTTGGAGCCGGACCAAGTCGAGTGTGTCCCGGTTTGCCCTGGATACGTTTCGATGAATTCGTGCTCGTGGGCCCATGGCCCAGCACCCTGCAAATGTTGACATTTGGCAGTGACTTCGACCAGAGCTTGGAGGGGATCCAGCTGCCCAGCACCCTGCAGACGTTGACCTTTGGCGTCGACTTCAATCAGAGCTTGCAAGGGATCCAGCTGCCCAGCACCCTGCAGACATTGACGTTTGGCCAACAGTTCAACCAAAGCTTGCAGGGGATTCAGCTGCCCAGCACCCTGAAGACGTTGACGTTTGGAGAGGTCTTCAACCAGTGCTTGGAGGGGATCCAACTGCCCAGCACCCTTCAGACGTTGACGTTTGGCCGCAAGTTCAACCAAAGCTTGGAGGGGATTCAGCTGCCCAGCACTTTGCAGGCGTTGACGTTTGGACATGACTTCAACCAGAGATTGCAGGGGATCCAGCGGGAATTATACCCCCGGAACGGTGCTACATCCTACAGGAGCCCAAGGATCTGGAAAGATACTTTGGTCCAAAACGCTTCGCGGAGGTAGAAATCCTCACGACAGAGCTCTTGGATGCCCATTACAAGATTTTGGACGACCTCAACGAGGCCGAAAGTCTTCGAGGATTCGGTGTAACGGAGGAGATGGTGAACAAGGCCCTCGAAGAGGTGTCTTCTTCACTTACCAGTGGTGCCTCATTCCACCCTCATGTTCGGCCGAATTCCAATGTGCATACGCTCATTTACAAGTACCTACTTCGAGCAGCACGAGTGCTTCGTGTGCACAGCCTTCACAGCCATCAGTACTACGACATCGAGGCTACCCTTTTGGAGCCACCAGATGGAGTACAAGGATGGCACGTGGATGTGTGTTGGGATCTTCTGGGTCGACAGCTTCGAAGCAGGGCCCTCGAATTCCACAAGATGGCAGAAGATCGTCGAGCAAAGCGTGCTCAACGTCCAAAGGCGCGACCTGCGCCACCACAGCTCGAAGAAGATCCTACCTCGGAAGAGGAAGAGGACGTCGATTCGTCCATCCTCAAGGAATACACCGAGCTGGGGTGGTACGTGCAGAAGGTGCTCGAGGAAATTCGTGGTGGAAATTTGGCGCCATCTCCGAAGATCTACTTGGAAGGACAAATGGTGAATGCCCCCTCGACTCATGGAGGTACACAGAGGCCGGCGGAACCACCTTCACCGGCAATGGTGCCACCGGAGCCGCCTTCACCATCAGGAGTTTTGGCTCCAACGGAACCACCATCACCCGCGGAATCCATGGCGCCACCTCTACCTCCACCAGTTCCTCGGTTCAAAATGCCTCAAAGGCCTCCACGTCCTTTGAGCGGAGAAGGGAACTATTCGGTGTGGGATCTCCTAAACACACCTGTGGAGCCTCCATCGCCAATGTCCCCGGTGCCCACGGAGGTATCGGATCGCGGTCGTTCCAGAAGCCCACGAAGGCTGCGACATTCGGATGTAGTAAGCGATGCAAGGGCCGCTATAAGCGAGGCCGAAGCCGCTCTTCGCTAAAAGCGAAAATGAGGCAATGCTCTTCCGTTGCGCCGCATCGTTGTTTTGCGCCCCGACAAGCAAAAAGAGAACCGGCTCGGAGACACGAGCAAGTAGGTCATTTTGAGTGGCATGAAACTTTGACATGTTGTGGCTTGAGCTTGGCATGTTTGACTTGTCGTGGCATGGAAACATTTTGGCTTGGAAACATTAGCCTTGAGGCCCCAGGAGTTAAAAGGCATCTAGTGGTAGGACCCCTAGGAGAAATTGGAGGTTCAAAGCCCCGAGTAAAAAGAACCCCTTTCCTCCTTCACGCCAGGCGGTCCGCTAAAATTCCAGGATTGATCATCGACGTCGCGATGGTGTTCCTCATCCTGATCTTCAGTGCCTTGGTTGGGGTCGTTGTTTCGGGTCTTTGGAAATTGCTCGAAAAGTGTTTTCAGAGAGGCTCCAAGAGAGCACCTGAGATGAGTAAAATAAAGCCCCGAAAAGGAGGATGTTGGATTCGTATTCGCACCCGAAAATGCTTCAAGCGTGTTTGCGTAGAACGAATCTTGTTGGTTGGTAGGAAAAGCCCGAAAGCCCCAACTAAGGGAAAGCCCAAAACCTTAAAGTTGTTGGCTTGTTTGCGGCATGTTTGGCATGTTTTGGCATGGTGTCTTGACGTGGCATGCTGTGTGTTGAAGGGAAATTATGAGAAAGTGCCGGAAGGAGGCTTAAAGCAGCCAGTGACTGAGCATCTGCGGATGCTCAGAGGGCTGCCCCTTCCAGGAAGTGGCACAGGCTCTGATCCCTTGATCTTGGATCGTGATGATGTTGAACCGTCGTCTTCGTTAAACCAACCGAATCGTTCCCCACAAAACCCGGAACAACCTCCTGAAGCCCCAATTCCACAAGGAGAGGAGATTGAAGAAAGGATCCCGTTGCGTAGCCACGCACTCCAGGTACATCGATCCCGAGGTCATTTTCCCTATGATGTGAACTGCGAAAGCTGCTGCTCTAGCAAAGGCAAAGTCCCAGCCAGGAGACTGAAGAGGCAGCTACAGAAGGAGAATCAAACCATTGGGGTCGATTTCTACTATTTTGGGAAACTGAGGGTTCTTCTTCTGGTACATGTTGCGTCCCGGTACTCAATGTCTATCCCCGCCATGGAACTACACGACCCGAACTTGTTATTCAATATCGATCGGTTTATCCGCGAAATTGGATTGCACCAGAAGACTTTAACGTTTCGGTGCGACAACGAACAGGGTCTGATATCCATGTGCGAGAGGGTCGCGGCGCAGAGGCGCGAGAACCCTACGATGGTGGATGTTGTGCCAGGATACCGTCCGCAGTCTAAGGGTGCTGTGGAAAGGCAGGTCTCTGCAATGAAGCAGGGATTTTGGTCGATATGGCTCGACCTAGAGGCGGAAGTAAAGCGTCGACGACCTGCTGAAGAAGGTGGTGCCGCTTGGCAGTTACCTTTAGGTGGAATGTTGTGGCAGACTTGTTTGCTGTATGCTGCACGCAGTTTCAACTTGTGGAGCTTTGACAGCAACAACAGTACCACGGCAATAGACAGGTTGCACGAGGAAATAGTCCAAAGGACTAGGACGCTTCCCTTCGGCTGTTCTGCGCAGGCTAAAGTTGGCGGTTCCAAACGACATCTAGAAAAATTCCGGGGAGCCAAGACGGTTCGAGTGAGCTATCTGGGCCCCGTCCATCCTAGAGGTGGAGGTGTGTATGGAACTGTCATTGGAGGAGATGGAGAGATTGAGGTCTTTCCAGCGTGTCGTGGGATCTTTGAACGGGACGAACCCACGTACGACAGCCCAACGTTGGAGCTGTTAGCTAAAGCTAATCCTCTTGTGCTTGATACGCAGGACCCAGAAAAGCCGTTGCTGTTTGAACCGTCTGCGGAATCCATTGTTCCAAAGGAAGAAGAAATTGAAGCCCCAGAGGATGAAGAAATGCTTCCTGATTATGTCCCGGATTACGAGCCCACAGAAGTGGGATCTGAAGGTCATGAGGGGGTAGCAGGGGGCGATCTTCCTGAACCTGACATGGAGGACATGGAGATTGATTGGTTGACGGATCATTATCTTCAGAAGTTAGGTGAAGGACCTGACTGCCGCGCTGTGAGCAATCAAGCGGCTTCTTCCTTTGAGCTTAAGTTTGGAGGGAGTAGAATCTGTTGTCAGGTTCCCCAACAAGCTGTTTCGGAGACCTCTGGTGAGCTGTTAGATCCCAAACTCCTCTATCTGTCCATGAAATTAGAACTAGAAGAATTAGAGTCTTTCAACGTAGGAGAAGTGGTGAGCGAGCGAGAAGCGTACAGACTTGCTAAGGAGAGCGGAAGAAGAGTTCTTTCGAGCCGTTGGGTCAATACGGTTAAGAAGCCTGGTCTTTACCGCTCTAGACTTGTTGTCCGCGATTTTGCCGCTATGGGCGGCACAACGCTCGCTGAGGGGATCTATTCTCCTACCACCAGCCTGGAAGGGCTGCGGCTCCTACTTTCTGTTCTGTGTAGAAAAGGGTCTGTGCTGTCCTGTGACGTGTCGGTAGCGTTTATGCACGCCGCTATTGCGCGGCCGGAGTTTGTGCAGCTTCCGAGTAACATAGGAAACGCAAAGACTGGCGAGAAGGTCTTCTTGAAACTTTTTCGTGCCATGAACGGGCTTCGAAGTGCCCCGCTTTCTTGGTACAAGGAGCTGTCGGCGTACTTGGGAAACCAAGGATTCCAGCAGATACTGGACCCTACAATCTTCCGCAAGAAAACCAAGAATGGTTTGGTGATTGTCCTCTTCTATGTTGACGATTTGTTGATTTGGGCCGAGAACACCGCCGAAGCTCGAAAAGTGTTTGAAGACCTGAAGAAACGCTACAAGCTTAAGCTAACAGGTGAACTCTTGGAAGGAAAACCAGGTGAGGTGTCTTTCTTGGGACGTAGGATCTTCCGGAAGAAGACCGGAGAGCCCTGCGTATACTTTGGCTTGGATGCTAAGTACCTGAGGTCTTGCTGTGAGGAGTACGGAATCACTAAGGTGGCGCCGAAGCTTCCACCATTAGAGCGGCGGTATGCCGACCTCATCAAGAAAGGACAGGACACACCTCTTACGCCAGAGGCGCACGAGCGCTATAGGCGTACCTTGGGACGCCTAGCCTGGGCGTCGCTTTCAAGACCTGATTTGCAGTATGTATGCGGTTTTCTAGGAAGACACCAGTCAGCCCCCAATGAAGCAGCCGAAGCTTGTATGAGGGATGTTCTGAGGTGGGTGTCTGGTTTACCGCATAAGGTCCAAGTGTTCCCCTCACGTAGAGAGCTTTTAGCCGAATTTTAGCCCCTGATGAGGACCGAGAGTCAGTGTCGTGTTTTGTTGACGCGTCTTGGGGTTTGAACTCTGTGAGTGGTGGAATTGTGACCTGGAACAACTGTTGCTTGAAGACGTTCAGTAGGAAACAGACGACCGTAGCTCTGTCATCGGCAGAAGCCGAGCTAGCAGCACTGACTGAAATCGCCAGAGAGGGATTGTATATATCTTTGTTGGTGCAGACGATGGTGGAGGGGATGCCTTCTGATTCGGAGGAAGGCCGATATCAGTTGCACGCGTACGGGGACTCTGAAAGCGCCCTGTCCATAGCGCAAATGAGTACCCTCCTTAGGAAAGTCCGCCACATAGAGTTGAGAGCTGCTTTTCTCCAACAACTAGTCGCCAAGGAAAGATTGACGCTGGAGTATATACCGGGGAAACTCAACCCCGCAGATGCTCTAACGAAGTCCCCAACTGCGGAGAATTTGGTCAGTCTTTGTGAGGCAGCTGGCCTCATTAACGAGCCAGAATCGTGGTCGTCGATCTCCGAAGAAAACGTCGAAGAAGTAAAAGATGAGCCCAATACCACTAAGGAAGTATCGTCGAACGCAGTAAGGTCCTCTCCGCTGGAGGTTCCGAGCTCTTGGATGGAAGCCGCGACGGCGTTGGCTAGAGGGACAGTGTCGCTCGTCGTTCTGGAGCTTTGCTGCGAAGAGTCGAGTGCTATAGCGAGAGCGTGTGCTCGAGAGAAAGGCATAGCGTACTTCGGAGTGACTCGGGAAATCAATCTTCTGAGTAGGAACACCTTTCTTGTTCTTGAAGAAATCTTAAGAGTCCTGAAGCAGGGAAAGGTCCGTGTCTTTGCGCATTTGTCTACGCTCTGCAGCTCAGGCTGCCCCTTGAGGTACCTGCGTTTCCGCAAGCGACGAGGTTTGGAACTTTGGCGGAAGACGCTAAAGATTCACAAGAGTTGCTGGAGACTTATAGGGAAGCTCTTCGGCCCCTATTCCTCGAACGAGGGTTTGCTGTTAACCCACGAATGGCCTGAAAGGTCCTCTTTGTGGAAGGAAACGGTATTTCTAGAAGTCTCTAAAAACATTGGTCTGACGCAAGGATGTCTAGTAGATAGGTGCTGCTTCGAGAAGAAAGAGAAGACTTGGAAGAGATGGTGTTTCGCTTCCAATAGTGCTGCCTGCGTGTGGGAACTGTCTTCGTACGTTTGCGCAGGAAACCACGAACACTCGAAGAGTGCGTCTCTGAAGGAGTCTGGGACCTACCCGGAAGAGCTTGGAAAGGCTCTGGTCAGGATTGGAAAGAAGATCCTGAAGCAGGAGGAAAGGAAGGACTGAAGGGAACTACCCCAGGACCATCTGTGCATGAGGGGGTGTGTAAAATTCACCTGACCTTGCAGATGTTTAGGTCCTCGCGGCACGGCCGCTGGAGGTTGTTTGAAGATGTTGGCTCTCACTATTGGTGAGTGGTTTGTATGGGCACTTGCTGGGGCAAGGCGGCTCTGGCGTCTGAGGATGGTACATGTGCTGGCTGCTGAGTACGGGCCACCGAAAGAGACCTGTGGTAAGACAAGCGATGAAAGGAGCCGAACTCCTAAACAATAGGACAGGCTAGCTCACGCGGACGCCACGCAGAGTATGTGTCACTATCTTCAGATGTTGGAGCC